ATCCCCCTCCGCCACATCATCTGTCATATCACCATCCAGTTCCGTTGATTGAGGCCGATCGGTACGCCGTGAATTACGGCGTGCATCCCGCCGCGCATTCCGCCGCTCATTCTGCCGCGCATCACGGCGTGAATCATACTCTAGTCGTGAATGTGGATGAGGATGAGGAGGACGAGGAGGAGGAAGAAGCGGCTCGACGTCACGATGCTGACGTGGCAGAGGGAGAGGAAGCTCAAATCGCGGATTCGTCAAGATATGAAATTCCACAAAACGTGCTATCGCCTTTCGAAGCGTCTCAACTACCGCCGTACGGTTTCAGTTCAGAGTACGGTTCGCACGGCACGAGTGATCGGCATTCCAGGGCAATAACGGGGATGCATCATCACACACACTTTCTGTACCCGCACCCTCCTTATATGCACATCCCCTTTCACGCACATCCCGGTGCTGGTTCCTCAGGCCCCATACCTCCCCCCGCTCCGCATGAAGATTCCAGTATGGGTTTCGCATATCACCCTTCGCGATCACTGGTTACAAGTTACAATGCGGGTTACCACCATCATGCTCCGCCGGCGCCGGCGCACGTGATGCATCCTGGACCGTTGGATCCAGTCATGGGGATTCATCACCACCGCACGATGGAGCAGCAGGAATCCATGGAAGAGCATAGGTCCATGGATCATCATGGGTCAATGGAGCATGTATCTGTGCCGTATGGGGAGGTTAACATGGATCATCATTACCATCACCATCATCATCACCACCACCACCACCATCATCACACTTCAGTTGGGGATACGATGGGGCTAGAACCATGGCCGCCGCGTTTACCGCCGCAACTGGCGCCGCAGCTGCCGCCACCGTTAGCGCCGCATTTGATGTTAGAGTCCGAGCAGGAGTGTCGCCGTGATGCGGACGGGGCGTTGAGACAAGCGAGGGATCCTGATGTTTTGGCAGATGGGGGGACGGATGCTGACGTGGTGGTTGACGCGGTGGGGTATGACTATATCGAGGATGAGCATCAAACGTCGGATCAGGGACTCGTTATAAGTCAAAGCGTGCAGACAGTTGAGGCGACGGACCAGCTGACGCGATTGGAAGGGCAAGAAGGGAGACTAATTGATCTGTTTGAGAGTGCAGGTCCAGCGCAGGCGCAACCGCAGGCGCAGCTGCAAGTTCAGTTGCAGGCGCAGGTGCGGGATTCGGAAGGGCATGTTCTGCAATCGCAGGTCCAGGTGCAAACGGAGGCGCAAGCTCAGGCGCAGGCTCAGGTGCATGCTCAGGTTCTTGGATATGAATATGGCGATAAGCATCTGCAAGGGCGCGAGCAGGACGTGTATGATACTGAGCTTATAGCGGACCATGTGTCTAGGCTTGTAGCGGAGCATGCACTAGTTGAGCAGGAGGGGGGGGAGGGGGAGGGGCGAAAGGAGCAGGCGGCTGGGCAAGGAGAGGAGGTCGAGCCAGGACAGGACGAAGGGGAGGGGCAGGGGGAGGAGAGGGGTGAGGAAGAAGAGGCGGCGGACAGGGGAAAGGGAATGGATGGACAAGAGGGAAACGAAGGAGGAGGGGAAATGGAGGCGGGAGCGGGAGGGGCAATGGAGATGGGAGGGGAAGTAGAGGGCGGAGGGGCAATGGAGGGGGAAGGGGGAATGGAGGGGGAAGAGGGGCCGGATATCGAATTGGAGCTAGTTATGGGGGATGCCGAGCTGGATGACGCGGAGATGTTTGTGGGACACCTGGCTGCTGACGTGGCGGATGTCCGTGCACCAGACAGCCACGTGGCAGGAGCCCAATGGCAAGCCTTTCGTGAGGATTTATCTGCACCTCAGTATGGTGCAGAGTTAGTCAAAGGAGGGACTATAGTATCAGACGAAAGCAGCATCAGCGAAGGGATAGCAGCGAGGCATGTAATAGCAAATAACGAGGAGCGTAATAAAGAGTATGGTTCAGATTCACCTGCAAGCAAGCCGCTAGCAGTACTTGAAGAAAGGGGCATTGGCACAGGGGAGGCAGCATCAACCAGGGTAGCGGCTGCAGTAGGGCAGTTAGCAGCAGGGCAGTTAGCAGCAGGGCAGTTAGTACCTGAAGCAGCAGCACTATCAGCTGCATCAGCAGTAGGAGGAGCATCAGCACCAGCAGTAGCAGCAGCTCCAGAAGCAGCAGCTCCAGAAGCAGCAGCAGCACGGATATCAAACGTAGTAGGGAAGGTAGTGATGGAAGCAGCAGCAGGGGAGGTAACACCTGTAGTAGCATCAGCAGCAGCTTCTGAAGCGTCACCAGTTGCCATGGCTCCAGAAGCAGTAGGAGGAGGAGAGCCCGATGTGCCACTAGCAGACGTGCCTGTAGGGAAGGTTCCTGTAACGGACGTGCCTTTAAAAGATGTAATTCTAACAGATGTGACATTAACAGGCGTGCCTGTAGAGGATATGCGAGCAACAGCAGCTGGGGGGGTCGAGGAGCGTTTGAAACCGGGAGGGGAGAGGGTTGCACCTGCGGATTCTGCTGCTCCTACTCCTCTTGTTTCCGCTGTTGCTGTTGGTGCTGTTGCTGCCGCTGCTACTGGCACTGCTTCTGCTGGTGCTGCTGCCGCTGCTGTTGCCTCCACTCCTAATGCTGCTGCCGTTCCTGCTACCCGGATTGCTGCTGCTGGTGCTTCTGCTGCTGTTTCTGCAACCCCTACTGCTCCGATTCTCCTGGATGTTTCTTTTACCCCTACTGCTGCGGCAGTTCCTGCCACTGTGGGACCCGCGGCAGTGGAAGAAGGCGGTGCAGGGAAAGCTGTTGCTAACCCTCCCTCTGTTCCTACTCTTCCTGCTGTTCCTCCTACTCCTGCTGTTCCTACTGCTCCTACTGCTCCTACTCTTCTTGCTGTTCCTGCTACGCCTCCTGCTCCCTCTCTTCCTGCTGTTCGTGCTATGCCTCCTGCTTTTACTCTTCCTACTGTTCCTGCTACCCCTAGTTCTCCTGCGCTTCCTTTTCCTCCTGCAACCCCCACTGCTCTTACCTTTTCGGCTGTTTCTGCTACCCCAACTGCTGCAGCGGTCCTTGCTACCAGCGGACCTGCTGCAGTGGAAGCAGGTGCAGGGGAGGCTGTTGCTACTCCTACTGCTGCTGCTGTTTCTGCCGGTGGTGCAGGGAAGGCAGTGCGCGGTGACAGCATAGGAGCACAAGCAGAGGCCACTTTAGCTGCGATAGAGGGGGTTCTTTCGCCGAGAGAAGCAGCAGTAGCAGCGACAGATGCAGGAGCAGCACGAGCAGGAGAAACACTAGCACCAGCAGCTGTACCAGGAACATTGCCAAGAGCTGCAGCGATGGCATCAGCAGCAGTAGCAGCAGCAGCTGCATCGAGTGTAGCAAAGCGAGCAGTAGTTTTAACTATAAGACCTGCTGTAGCGGCAATGCCAACAGCAGCAGATTCAGTGCAGGCATTAGATGCGAGAACATCTCCAGAAGCGGTGGGGACAGCAGGGCCAGCAGCAGCAGCTGCTGCTGCAGCAAAGCGTGCAGTAGGTGCAAGTACAGTACCTGCTGTTGCAACAATACCAGCAGCACGAGGGACAGCAGCTGTAGCTGCACCAGCAGCACGAGGGACAGCAGCTGTAGCTGCACCAGCAGCAGCAGCAGCAGCAGCAGCTGCTGCTGCAGCAAAGCGTGCAGTAGGTGCAAGTACAGTACCTGCTGTTGCAACAATACCAGCAGCACGAGGGACAGCAGCTGTAGCTGCACCAGCAGCAGCAGCTGCTGCTGTATCAATGCGTGCAGTAGGAGCACGTATGGTACCTGCTGTAACGACAGTGCCAGCAGCACCAGGGATGGAAGCTGTAGCTGCTGCAGCAGCAGTGACTGTAGCAGAGCGTGCAATAACTCCGCCAACTACGGTACCTGCTGTAGTGGCAGCGCCAGCGGCACCAGGGACAGCACCAGTGGCAGCAGCGGTTGTAGCAGAGCGTGCAGCAGGTGCAGTTATGGAACCTGCTCTAGAGGCAAGACCAGGAGCACCGTACGCACTGCAGCCAACACAAGTTGGAGCTGGAGTGCTGTCAGGTGCAGCAACTCCAGCAGCACCAGTTACAGCACCAGCAGCAGCAACGGTTGTAGCAGAGCATGCAGCAGGTGCAGTTATGGAACCTGCTCTAGAGGCAAGACCAGGAGCACCGTACGCACTGCAGCCAACACAAGTTGGAGCTGGAGTGCTGTCAGGTGCAGCAACGCCAGCAGCACCAGTTACAGCACCAGCAGCAGCAGCGGTTGTAGCAGAGCATGCAGCAGGTGCAGTTATGGAACCTGCTCTAGAGGCAAGACCAGGAGCCCCATACGCACTGCAGCCAACACAAGTTGAGGCTGGAACGTTGTCAGCTGCAGCAGGAACAGCAAGGGCGGCAGGGGCAGGAGGAGTGGCAGGTGTAGCACGTGACACAGCGGCAGCAGTAGTGTCAGCAGAAGTAGCAGCAGAAGCAGCAGCACCAGAAATAGCTGTACCCATAGCAGTTTTGGCCAGTGCAGGGGCCGAAAGGGCAAGGGCGGAAAGAGCACGGGCAGAAAAAGCAGGGGCTGACAAATTAACGGCGGAATGGGCAGCAGCGGAAAGAACAGCGACAGTATCAGTGGGAGCAGCAGGAGCAAGCGCTATGGCAATTGCACAAGCAGAAGTAGCAGCTGGGGCGGCAGCAGCAGTTGGAACGGCAGAAGTAGGAAGAGGAGGAGGATCAGCAGCAATGAAAGCTGCTGCTGCTGCTCTCAGTAGATCAGTACAAAGAAGGTTGTCTGCAGCTGCAGCAGTAGATAGGGAAGCTGCAGTAGCTAAAACAGCACCACCAGTGACACTAGCCCCCAATACAGTGTCTGGGACAGTTGCAAGTGCTACTGAAACGGCTTCAACTAGAGCATGGCCCGTTTCAAGTGCTCGCGGAACAGTTTCAATTGCCGATAGAACAGTTACAACTGCAGCAGTAACTGTTCCTGGGAACAAGATGACACCTGAGGAGCTGGAAATCGACATGAAGGATTTTCTGAGCAACAGAGCCAGGTGGGGCCAGGTGGAGAAGGGAGGCGCGTCCATTGCCCACCTGAGAATCTACCTGAGGGGTCTGCGGCGTGAAGGCGATTCGAAACTAGAGGTAAGAAGAGAGTTTCTTACATGAAGAACTACCACCCCTTCCCACCCCTTTTTACTGCTCTCCACCGCTCTCGTCAGCCCCATTCTTGCTCTCCCCTCCACCCAGGCTCACCCTTGTTCTCAGCCCCCCCCCCCCCCCTTTCCACCCTACCTCACCCCCCTCCACCGCTCTGCACTGCTCTCACAGCACCTGCAGGACATGTATCTCTCTCACGGGCTCAGTCTCGAGGATATAAAGCTGGAGATGCTCTCAGTACTACAACTCTTTGCCACCCTCGTCAGCCCCTTGCTCGCCCTCACTTCCATCCACACTCACCCTCCTCTCCACCCCGGTCCACCATTCTCCACCCCTCTCTACCACTCTCACAGCACCTGCAGGACATGTTTCTCTCGCACATCAAGCTGGAAATGCTCTCAGTCGTGCAACTCTTTGCCACCCTCATCAGCCCCTTGTTCAATGCCCCTCTCCACCCTCTCCACCCTCTCCACCCACTCCACCCCACCGCTCTCACAGCACCTGCAGGACATGTTTCTCTCTCACGGGCTCACCCTAGAAGACATAAAGCTCGAGATGCTCTCAGTCGTGCAGCTCTTTGCCACCCTCATCAGCCCCTTGTTCAATGCCCCTCTCCACCCTCTCCACCCCACCGCTCTCACAGCACCTGCAGGACATGTTTCTCTCTCACGGGCTCACCCTAGAAGACATAAAGCTCGAGATGCTCTCAGTCGTGCAGCTCTTTGCCACCCTCGTCAGCCCCGTGTACGCTCACCCTTTCCACTGCTCTCTGCCACTCTCCACCCCTCCCCATCCCCCTCCACTGCTCTGCACTCCTCTCACCAGCATCTGCAGGACATGTTTCTCTCGCACGGACTAACTCTCGAGGACATCAAGCTCGAGATGCTCTCAGTGGTGCAGCTCTTTGCCACCCTCGTCAGCCCCGTGCGAACCGGAGCTAAAAACAAGCCCAAGCTCCTCACCATCATAGCCACTTCCGAGCCTTGGAACAAACCTCACGCCCCTCCATTCACGCTCATCCTTGTTTTCTGCCCCCCTCCACCCCACTCTGCCCTTCACCACCCGTCCCTGCCCATCTCCACTGTTCTGCATCGCACAGCATTTACAGGACATGTTTCTCTCTCACGGACTAACTCTGGAAGACATAAAGCTCGAGATGCTCTCAGTGGTGCAGCTCTTTGCCACCCTCGTCAGCCCCGTGCGAACCGGAGCTAAGAACAAGCCCAAGCTCCTCACCATCATAGCCACGTCCGAGCCTTGGAACAGACCTCACGCTATGGAGAAGCGCCTCGTTGCCGCGGCTGTGACCGGGCCTGTCCCGGGCCTGCCGCCGGAGCTGGCCGCCGCGGCTGCGGCGCAGGTTCGGGTGGGCGAGGAGGAGGTTCGGCGGTATGGAGGGATGCTGGAGCGGTTTTTGGAGAGCCCGAGGGAGTGGAATCTGGTGGACCATCGGGGGGAGTTTCAGTTCAATGCTATTTTTGCATTCCTGCGCAAAGCGCATGTGTGCGAGCCGCTGCTGCTGCAGGTAAGCCTGCATTGCATGCAAGGTTTAATTGTCAGAGTTTAGCAGGTTTAGCATGTGCTAGGGTTTAAACCCTGGTGGATCATCGAGGTGAATTTCAGTCCTATGCTATTTTTGCATTCCTGCACGAATCAGGTGCTCATGCCATGCGTGCTGCTTCTTTCCTACCCCTCTCGAACGGTCCTTTCTCATACGGTCCATTCTCTCTCTCCCTACCCACCCACCCACAGCACTAGCAGGCACTCTTTTGAGTTGATTCAAAAGTCCCATTCCCCACAGCACTACTAGGCTCTTCTTCGCCCACCACCTCACCCTGGACGACCTGTGGCGTGGCGTGCAAGAAGTGGGTGCTCATGCTGCTCGTGCTGCTTCTTTCCCCCCTCCCTCTTTCCCGCTTCGCCGTGACTCCCAGCATTATCAGAGCCTCTTCTTTGCTCACGCTCTAACTCTTCACGACCTGCGAGCGTGCAAGAAGTGGGTGCTTATGCTGCTCGCGCTGCTGCTGGGCTTCTCAGGCCGCCTGGACGAGCTCAACAAGAAAGACCTCGTGCAGGCTATAGCCTCGACAGACGCATGGAAGGAGTATGAGACGAGCCGGGAGACGCGTCTGAATGGACAGTGCGGTACAAACCAGTGTGGTGCGGTTTTAGATGGGCCGCTTGAGAGTTCCAGGGGAGTCAGAGGGCCCCAGACGACTGGGGCCTTGGAAAGGAACGAGGGGAGCAGGGCTGCTGGGGGTGGAAGCGGGGAAGACGGGAGTGCAGGGGAGGGAGGAATGGTTGAGATGGGTTCAGGGGCAGGAGCAGGAGTGACAGCAGGAGCAGCAGCAGCGGCGGCGGCAGCAGCAGCAGGGCGGTATGCTGTGATTGTAGCAGACAGGGGAAGCTCACATGCATCTAACCCTGCTGCCACTGATGCTGCTGCTGCTTCTTCATCTCCTCTTCCTCCTCCTGATGCTACCCCTGCTGCTCCGCCTCCCTCCGCTCCTCCTCTCCATAGCCCTGTCACTAATGGCACCGCGAATCATTTTCCTCACGCTCATGCTAATAATAGCACCGCTCCTGCTATTATTAGCAGTACTGCCAACAATACCAATAATAGCAATGATGCCAATAATGGCAATTTCTCCAGGAAAAGGTCTGCTCCAGGAAGAGTTCGGCCAATCAAATGCGCCCGTCTGCTGCCGACCTCCCGCCAGGACCGGTCGGCGTTCCTCGTCCGCGTCCGTCAGGCAGGGGACGACGAGCTGGGCGGCGTGCTTCGGCAGTTTCTGGAGGACCCGAAGCACTGGGCGTGTGCGTTGAAAGGGGGCGTGGTTGTAACGAGACTGGGGAAGTTTATCAGGGAGATGGCAGAAAACAACCCAACGATGCTGGAGGTGAGGATATGTGTGTGTTTGGCTTCCTGTGCTCCCTTGTACTTCCCCACACTGAACTTTTGTACTCTTCATAGTATGCCTGTTAATACCATCAAAATTATTTCGGAAGTGCGTTCCCTCATCCCTCCCCTCTCCCTTTCTAACGGGTTTTCTCGTTCACCTTTGAACTCTCCTATTTCTTGCCCTGGTTTCTTTTTCTGCCAGCCCTACCAGCAGGCGTTCTTTGCTCACGGCATCGGCATGAACGAGCTGAGGCGGGAGAAGCAGCCTTCTCAAGCCCACTCCCCTTCCTTTCCCTTCCTTTCGCCTCTCCCCCTTCCCCAGCCCTACCAGCAGGCGTTCTTTTCTCACGGCATCGGCATGAACGAGCTGCGGCGGGAGAAGCGCAGCTCTCACATGCAACCCACCTTGCTTGAACTAACTTGCACTCCCTTTTGCCAACCCCCTCTCTCGATGCTGTACCCCCCTCCCCAGCCCTACCAGCAGGCGTTCTTTGCTCACGGCATCGACATGAACGAGCTGAGGCGGGAGAAGCGCAGCTCTCACATGCAACCCACCTTGCTTGAACTAACTTGCACTCCCTTTTGCCAACCCCCTCTCTCGATGCTGTACCCCCCTCCCCAGCCCTACCAGCAGGCGTTCTTTGCTCACGGCATCGACATGAACGAGCTGAGGCGGGAGAAGCGCAGCTCTCACATGCAACCCACCTTGCTTGAACTAACTTGCACTCCCTTTTGCCAACCCCCTCTCTCGATGCTGTACCCCCCTCCCCAGCCCTACCAGCAGGCGTTCTTTGCTCACGGCATCGACATGAACGAGCTGAGGCGGGAGAAGCGCAGCTCTCACATGCAACCCACCTTGCTTGAACTAACTTGCACTCCCTTTTGCCAACCCCCTCTCTCGATGCTGTACCCCCCTCCCCAGCCCTACCAGCAGGCGTTCCTCTCTCACGGCATCGGCATGAACGAGCTGCGGCGATAGAAGCCCAGTGGCCCTCTCACACTCAACTCTCGCTTCTCAAACTAACTTCCACTTCCCTTTGTCTCTCCTCTCCCCAGCCCTACCAGCAGACCTTCTTCTCTCACGGCATCGGCATGAACGAGTTAAGGCAGGAGAAGCGTCCTTACCAATGCGACCTTCTTTCCTAAACCCCACACCCTGCACTCCCCTTCCCTTGGCATTTTCTTCCTCTCCCCAGCCCTACCAGCAGGCGTTCTTCGCTCACGGCATCGGCATGAACGAGCTGCGGCGGGAGAAGCGCACCGCCTTAGAGCTGTTTGCATACCTCATGGGAGTCACAGGTAGGTGTAGTGCAGGGCAGGCGTATGGTAACATGGTAACACTTGAAGATATGACATGTCTGAGTACGAGAAGCCCACTGCCTTGAAGCTCTTTGCATGCCTCATGGGATTCACAGGTAGCGTAGCAGCATAACATGGTAACAGTAACCTGGTGAAAGTTGACAAATGCGATTGAGACGAGGGAAAAGCGGACAGTACTGGAGCTGTTTGCATACTTCATGGACGTTACAGGTAGAACATAACATAGTACTACAGCAGCGAAGACTATGTTGAATACAGCAGCCGTTTCTATTATGCCTTGACTTGGTAGAGGTGACCAGAGAGGTGCTCTGCAGTGTTTACTACAAAGCACCTCTCTGGTCACTCTTGCCCAAGTCAATGCATAGCAGAACTGGCTGCTGTAGTCGATGCATGTAGCCTTCACTGCTGTAGTACTATGTTTCAGATTTACACAATATTTTGCTGTAGTAACATTATAAGGTCTCACTATTTTCTAAATATGCCACATTCTTTCCCCCTTATTGCTGTCTCCCTTTTTTTTTTTTTTGCTTTGTTTGTCTCCCCTGCCCCTGTCACTATCCCTTTTGCTTTACCCAAGGCAACATCAAGGCATGGAATAAGAACCAGATTCTCTATAGCATCTACTATATGTATTGATGCATTTACCCCCCTGTGTTCTTTCCCCCCTGTGCATTTACCCCCAACCCTCCCCCCCTCCCCCCCCGGTCCCGTCCCCCTCGACCCTTCCCTTCACAGCTTCATGTTTATGCCTCTTTTTCCCCTTGCGCACCTCTCCCCTGTGTTACCACCCTGTAACGCTTCTTCCCCTTGCTCCACCCCAGGTAACATGAGAGCATGGAAGAAGCACCGGCTTTTAAAGATCATATCTGCCATGCCAGCCTGGCAGATTCATGCGACACGATTGGACGAGATGGGCTTGGGGGGAGGTGTGGGGAAGAGGGGGTGGGGGGGAAGGAGGGGTGCTGGTGGGGAGGGTAGGGGCGAAGGGGAAGAGGATGAGGAAGGGGAGGAGGGAGGGGGGGAGGAGGGAGAGGAGGAGGAGGAAGGAGAGGAGGGAGGGGAGGAGGAAGTGACTGAGGGAGATGAAGTGAGTCTGAAGGAAGAGAGAAAGGGGCAGGCTCCAGCAGGTGGAGCAGGTGTAGCATCAGCTGTAGCACCGTTTGTAGCAGCAGGGGCAGGAGTAGCAGCAGCAGCAGCAGCAGCAGCAGGGGAGGAGGAGGTGAGTGAGGGAGATGAAGTGAGTCTGAAGGAAGAGAGAACGGTGCAGGCTCCAGCAGGTGCAGTGCCCTTCGCAGCATCTGTAGCAGGAGTAGAAGAAGTAGCTTCTGCAGCAGGAGTAGAAGAAGTAGCTTCTGCAGCAGGAGTAGGAGGAGTGGGAGGAGAGGCAGGAGTGGCAGCTATAGCAGCAGTAGCTTCTGTAGCAGCTGTGTTGGAGAATGGAGAGGCAACAGTGGGGGAACTATCAGCAGCAGCCGAAATTGGTGAGTCACAGGCACCTGTAGCATCAGCTGTAGCACCGTTTGTAGCAGCAGGAGCAGGAAAAGCAGCAGCAGCAGCAGCAGCAGCAAGTGCGGGTTGTAGGTCGGCTGAGAAAGCACATGTAGCAGCAGCACCTGTAGCTGTAGCAGGGTTTGGTGGGGGCAGCAGGGGCAAAGGCCGGCGGTGGGAATGGGTCGATGGGTGGGGAGAAGAGTACAGGAGAATCGAGGAAAGAAATACAGGAGCTCATTCTCTGGTGTCTTCGGAAAATGCAGGAGCTCTTTCTCTGGTGTCTTTGGAAAATGCAGGCTGTGTGTCGAGTTATGCGCTGAGCTGTTCACGTTGCCTGCCTATTGCTGGTCTGGTGCAGATGCAGAGAGGGGAGGAGCAGAGGAAGGGTGATCTTGAGGACGAGGCTTTGGAGATGGGGGAGCATGGGGCGGAGGCGGGCTTTGGGTGTGAAAAGTGGGGGAAGAAGGGTGAGGAGATGGAGGAGGATGGGGATGAGAGGAAAGAGAATGGGGAGAAGGGGGAGAAGGGTGAGGAGAAGGGGGAAGAGAAGGGTGAGGAGAAGGGGGACGAGAAGGGTGAGGAGAAGGGGGACGAGAAGCGGGAGGAAACGGGGAAGAAAGGGGAAGGGAATGAGGATTCCACCCCCATGACGCCCTGTGCAGTGGCCGAATCAACAGACCCACACGGAGCAGCAGCAGGACACGCATCAGATGAGCTGCCGTTACCTTCACTAGCAGCAAAATACGCATCAGTAGTAGCACCAGCAGCAGCACCGGCAGCGGAAGCTGCAGCAGCAGCAGTGCCGGCAGCAGGGACATCAGCTGCGGCTCGATCAGAAGCGGCAGCATCAGCACCACAGGATACAGCACCGGAAGCTGTTATTCTTCCAGAGGCTGTTTTTGAGTCGACTCAAAAACAGGATTCAGCACCAGAAGCTGTTATTGCAGAGGCTGTAGCACCAAACGTTTCTGCTTCAAAGGCTTCAGCCCCAGATGCACTGGACGTGCCTAGCGGTTCTGAGACTGTTGCAAACGATGCTGTGGGGTTGGGAGGGGGCTCAGAAGCAAGTGGTCTGAATGGTGTGGTGAGGAGAGCTGCAATTGTTGGGGAAAGAGAGGAGGGAAATCTGGGAGGGGAGGAGGGGGAAGTGGGGGAGGGAGTGGAGAAGGGGGAAGGAGGGGAGGGAGGGGAGGGGGTGGAAAGGGAGCGGGAGGGGATGGAAGTCTGGGTGAGTCCCAGTGTAAGTCAAAGCTACAGGGCGTTCCTGTAACGGAGGGAGAATGCAGTGCAGGTGTGACTGGGGCAGGTGTGACTTTGGCAGGTGTGAGTGGGGCGAGTGTGACTGGGGCGGGTGTGACTGGGGCGGGTGTGACTGGGGCGGGTGTGACTGGGGCGGATGTGACTGGGGCGGATGTGACTGGGGCAGGTATGGCCAAAGAACCAGCAGCCACAGCAGCATTAGCAGCAGCATCAACACAACCAGCAGCAGGTGCACCATTTGCGATGGTAACACCAGCACCAGAAGCAGCAGCACCAGCATTACCAGCATTACCACCACCAGCACCACCACCAGTACCACCAGAATTACCACCAGCAGCAGCAGCAGCAGCAGCAGCAGCAGCAGCACTAGCAGCACCAGCAGCACCAGCAGCACCAGCACCAGCAGCAGCACCAGCACCAGCAGCACCAGCAGCAGCAGCACCAGCAGCGCCACCGCCAGCAGCACCAGCACCAGCAGCACCAGCACCAGCACCAGCAGCAGCAGCAGCAGCACTCACAATTCCGCCGCAGCAGCAGCTGAATGCACCGAAGCCAGTGTCATTCCAGGAGCTTATCTTTGCTGATGGGGCTTTGGAGGAGGAGGAAGGGAGGCTGGGCTGCCTCTGGGAAGAGACTAGGGATGGGCAGGGACAGGATGTAGACTGCATCACAGAGTGCAGAGGAGACAAGGGAGAGAGCAGAGAGAATGAGGGAGCACACGGAGGAGACGAGGGAGAGAACAGAGGAAATGCAGGAACACCCGCAGCAGCAGCACCACCAAAACCAGCAACAGCAGCAGCACCAGCACCAGCACCAGCAGCAGCAGCAGGAGAGGAGGAGGAGACAGGAGAAGTGGCAAGTCTGTTCCTCGCGTTCGTGAGAGATCCAGAGGAGTGGGCGCTGGGAGACGCGCAGAGCCGTGCCAAGGTGCCCCTCTTCTTCCGATACCTTCGACACCTGCAGAGGATTGGCTCACCGCTGCTCAAGTAAGCGTTTTTGTGTGTGCTCAAAGTTCAGGTGCCACTGTTGTGTTGTGTGTGCTAGGGTGGGCGCTGGGGGACGCGCCAAGCCGTGCCAAGGTGCCCCTGTTCTTCCGATACCTTCGGCACCTGCAGCGAATAGGCTCGCCCCTGCTCAAGGTGAGTGTAGAGTTCCACCCATCCTCTCCCCCACCCTCTCCCCCATCCTCTCCCCCATCCTCTCCCCCATCCTCTCCCCCCACCCTCTCCCCCACCTCTCCCCCACCCTCTCCCCCACCCTCTCCCCTCCCCCCCTCTCCCCCACCTCTCCCCCACCCCACCCTCTCCCCCACCCTCTCCCCATCCTCTCCCCCATCCTCTCCCCCACCCTCTCCCCCATCCTCTCCCCCATCCTCTCCCCCATCCTCTCCCCCATCCTCTCCCCCACCCTCTCCCCCATCCTCTCCCCCACCCTCTCCCCCATCCTCTCCCCTATCCTCTCCCCCATCCTCTCCCCCATCCTCTCCCCTCATCCTCTCCCCCATCCTCTCCCCCATCCTCTCCCCCACCCTCTCCCCCATCCTCTCCCCCACCCTCTCCCCCATCCTCTCCCCTATCCTCTCCCCCATCCTCTCCCCCATCCTCTCCCTCCTCCCCCATCCTCTCCCCCATCCTCTCCCCCAGCCTCTCCCCCACCCTCTCCCCCATCCTCTCCCCCATCCTCTCCCCCATCCTCTCCCCCATCCTCTCCCCCACCCTCTCCCCCCCTCCCCCACCCTCTCCCCCATCCTCTCCCCTATCCTCTCCCCCATCCTCTCCCCCATCCTCTCCCCTATCCTCTCCCCCATCCTCTCCCCCATCCTCTCCCCCATCCTCTCCCCCATCCTCTCCCCCTCCTCTCCCCCACCCTCTCCCCCACCCTCTCCCCCACCCTCTCCCCCATCCTCTCCCCCATCCTCTCCCCCATCCTCTCCCCCATCCTCTCCCCCATCCTCTCCCCCACCCTCTCCCCCCCATCCTCTCCCCCATCCTCTCCCCCATCCTCTCCCCCATCCTCTCCCCCACCCTCTCCCCCATCCTCTCCCCCACCTCTCCCCCATCCTCTCCCCTATCCTCTCCCCCATCCTCTCCCCCATCCTCTCCCCCATCCTCTCCCCCATCCTCTCCCCCACCCTCTCCCCCACCCTCTCCCCCATCCTCTCCCCCATCCTCTCCCCCATCCTCTCCCCCACCCTCTCCCCCATCCTCTCCCCCACCCTCTCCCCCATCCTCTCCCCCATCCTCTCCCCCTCAGCCAATAGCAGTGAAGAAGCAACCATCCAAACCCCCCTTTTCTTCCCATTCCTCTCCCTGCCTCCCCCCACCCCTCCCCCCCCCCTGCAGGCGGATCGTGAAATCCTCCTGTCGCACGCCCTCTCCTCCTCTCACCTCCTGGCAATCAAGAAGCAAGCGCTGATGCTCTTTGCTGCTCTCTTTGGGATATCAACCAGCCTAAACCCCTCTCTCCTTCCGTCCGTCCTCCTTTCTCCCCTGCAGGCGTATCGTGAAATCTTCCTGTCGCACGGCCTCTCCTCCTCGCAGCTCCTCACCATCAAGAAGCAAGCACTCATGCTGTTTGCTGCTCTCTTTGGGTACCGCAGGCAGCTGGACGGCAAGAACAAGGGGCAGTACGCTGCTATCGTCACCCACTCCTCCTTTTGGAGAGAGCCCGGACAGGGGGGGAGAGATCAGGGGCCGGGGCAGGGCCGATTTGATGGGCAGGGGCAGGGGGGAAGAAAGGGGAATGGGACAAATGGTGTTGTGTTTCCAGGAGACGTTTTGTTGAGCTCTGCTGCCCCATGTGGGGGTAAGGAGAGGCGAGATGGAAGGAAGGAACTGCAAGGCATGGAGCTGGGAGGGCGGAGGGAGCAGCAGAAAGAGCAGCAGCAGGGCATGGGGGCACAAGAGGCACAGCTGCAGGAAGAACAGCTGTTGTGGAGGCAAGAGCAGGCCAAGGAAGGGGGGATTGTGGTGGCTCGAAGGGTTGGCTCTGCTGCCCCGTGTGCTGTGACCGATGAACCTGTCGCTCCGCTTGCTGTGCGTGAGCAGGGTGGGTCAGGCGTGAGGGGTGCATGCTCGCAAGACCAGGTGCCAGCAGCAGCAGAAAGGAGGGCAGCAGCAGGGGCAGAATCAGCAGGGGGGGGAACTGGGAAAGGAGCAAGGGAAGGAGGAGGGGCAGCAGGAGGGAGAGCAAGGGAAGGGGGAGGGATGGGGGGTGGGCTGAGGTGGATGAAGAGGCGAATTCGCGTGCACCAGGGGAGTGAAGGGGCAGAGGCAAACCCGATGGAAACTCCAGCAGTAGCTGCAACCACTGCGGAAACAGCTTTAGCAGCAGGAGGAGCAACAGCAGCTGCTGTCGCCGTTAATGCAGCGGCCGCAACAGCCGCAGCAACAGAAACTTTTACAGCTGTGCCAACAGCAGAAACCCCTGGTAATCTGCTCACCTCTTGTCCCATCTCTTCCTCTATCCCTCCTTGTGTTGGAAATGGTCCTTATAGCTCCGCCAGTGCCTCTCTCCCCGGTCGAAAACAGTCCCTCTCAGAACTGCTGTTCCTGCAAACCAGTCATGCTGGTCCGAACCAGCAGGCTCGGACCGAGCCTGAGCCGGAACCTGAGCCTGTGGCTTGTGCTGCTGCTGCTAGGTTAAGAGAGCAGGGGAGAGGGAGCACAGAGCAGGAGCGAGAGGAATGTGGGTTGAGGAAAAGAAAAGTAGGGGAGAGGAGGAGGAGAAAGGGTGATGGGGAGAAGATTGAACTGGGAAAAGGGTCACAGGATTTGGGGGATACAGAGCGGTGCGGAGGAGTCAGGGGAGTTAAGCGGAGGTGGGAGCAAATGGCTGCTGATAGTGATGATAATGACGATAATGTTGATGATGATTGCAGCAAGGATGACTGCAGTTTTCATGGTGATGGTGATAGTGATGATGGATCCTGGGAACAGGAGGAAGGTGCTCGCTGGGAGAGTCAGAAGCAGCTGCAGCAGCAGGAGCAGCAGGAGCAGCAGCAGCAGCAGCAGCAGAAGCACCACCAGCGGAAGCCGCTAAAGAAGCGGAAAGCGGGCGGCACAGGGCAAGCGTGTGGTGTGGACTGGATGGGAATATCAGACGATGAGCTGCTAAGTGCTGTACAGAAGCACCTTATAAAGGAGATGGAGGTGTGTGCAGGGGTGAGCGACTGTAACGAAAGTGTCCAGGCACCTTGGTGGTGGCAGAGGTGGTTGGTGGAAATTTTGAACAATGCAGCTTGCCAGGAGCCTCGTCAGGTGTTTCACCAGGTGTTCCGTCAGGTACCAGCCCTGGTTCAGGTGCTCTGTTGCAACTGGAAAAGCTGCATCAGGAGTTCTGCCAGTTTGTGGTTGGTTGTGGTGGTGGGTTAGAAAGACCCAGTGCTGTTGCTGACCCCAGGAGAAGGGATGAGGGGGATGAAGAAGTTTTGAGACGCCGCAAAGGCAGTAAGGACATGAGGGGAAAAGGCGAGAGTGGTGGAGAGTTGAACGATGTGGAGGGAGGAGCAGGTGGAAGGGAGAGTGTGGATGGGCGGGGTGGGGATGTGGGTATGGGAGGAGAGAAGAGGGTGGGAGGAGGGAAGGAGGTGCTGATGAGAGACAGGTGGCAACGGGCAGTGCAGCTGAGCTTGCTTGCAGCGATTGTTGCTGAGTGCGAGTCTTTGAATAAAGAGCAATCTGTCAATGTAAACAAGAAGTCGTTTGATCAAATAATGTATTGTAGCAAATCCAGGATGCTGTAGTCTCTCTTGTACCTTGTAAACTATATATAAATAAGTGGTACCTTGTACCTTGCAAATATTGTAGGGGGAAGGTAACGAAGTGGTTCTAACAAATAGGATTTGTCACCGTCTGTTACAGCTATTGTTAGTACCGATTTGTATCGTTCTCAAACTGACGGAACCGCACTGGCCGACTCGGATGCCGCACAAACGCCCTTCCTGGCCTCGTCCCGCCATCCCTCATTCCCCTCCTAACGAAAGTCTACGATGCGCGTCGTAGTAGGCTAGTGACGTCTCTAGAACGTTCCAGGTCCCTGAGAATACGATAGCTGTATCGCGAATCCAAGGGTAGAGTTGCGAATGCCCTTGCTTGGACCTAGTCTATCGTTTTTTGGGGCGAATCAAGGGATATTCTGGACCATTTTGAACGACCGAGTTCAGGACGTCATTAATCTTCCTCGAATTCAGTTTCTCGCCGCTGTTGCCTCTCGCGGCTTATTTGCTACGAATTCCGTCGCGTTCTAATCTGCGACGAATTGCCAGTCACCGAAACGCTTTATTTCAAACTTGTAGTACCGTGCTTCAAAGTGTTTTGAGTCGACTCGATTCAACCCTAATCTCGTACTGAGTGGTACCGTACCCGTACCAAATTCTACCAAACTCGCTCCGAGCCTTACCGAACTTCACCGATCTCTACCGAACTTCAAGAATGGTAGAGATTCGTAATGCGGGAGAGGACAGCACGGATCGCTCGCGGTGGCAAATCATTTACCCCGTTTACATAAACTCGAAGATGACTATAGCGCAGGGTCGTCGCATCGCGGCGAGCAAGGCCGCGGAGAACCCCAACATTCAAGAGATGCTCGACTCGTGCACGCACCTCAAAATCCCCGTGCACGCAGAGGTGAGTTTGTGGGGGGATCATGTTACGGTGCGTGTAGCGTGGCATGGTACGGTGTGCGTGCCGTTATAGGGGTTCATAGGGAGTTGAGTCCATGGTCTGGCCGCGGAGAACCTGAACAATCAAGAGATGGTGGACTCGTGCACGCATTTAAAAATCCCCGTGCATGCAGAGGTGGGTTTGCAGGGGAACCATGTCCGGTGTATGGCATTATAGAGGTGTCAGTCCTGGTAAGGCCGCGGGAGTCCCGTGCACGCGGAGGTGGGAGGAAAATCATGGCACACAACATCCAAGAAATGCTCGACTCGTGCACGCAACCTGAAACCCCCGTTCATGCAGAGGTGGGTTTGGGGGGGATCATGGGTCGATGTATGTCATTATAGGGCATTATGGAGCATTCCAGGGCATTATATGCCATCATATGGCATTATGAGTTGAGTCTGTGGTGATGGTAAGGCCACGGAGAACCCGGAAAATCAAGAAATGGTGCACGCATACCCGTGCATGCCGAAATGAGCTAGACGTGATCGTGTTATGGCGTCTGTGACTTTTTAGGGCAAAGCCATGGCGTCAGTTTGAGCAGACGCCTGGAATGACTTCTGGTTTACTGAATGGTCCGACTCATTTTCTGGCCCAATGCATGCTGTGGCCCCTGGTCCAACAAATGCCGTGACCCCTGGTCTCCTGTCCCCATTACCTTCACTTGTTGGTTTGCGAATTTGGTCCCAAAATCCCGGTGCGTGCAGAGATGAATTTGGTGTGTTGTGGTGTCTTAGTGCCCCTATGCCTGTGTATCTCTGTGTCTCTGTTCATCTGTACATGTATTAAAGTGGATTTGTCTGTTGGTTTAACCCCATTGCAGCTAGACAAGGCCTATTCACGGGACTTCTTTCAAAGAGGCCGCATTCGAGTGCAGATCAAGAAGCCGGATGGCACGCCACACAACCCCGATATCCCCAACAGTATGTGGTTCTTCAAGCTTCAAAGAAAGAAAGAAAGAAAGAAAAAAAAAAAAAAAAAAGAGGAGCAGAAATTTCACAGCACGACATTTCCAGCAGTACGTGCTGCTGTGTGGGCGACCGCAAGGCAACAGTAAGTGCTACAGTAACGACAACGAACAGTAGGTCACACACACAACTGGCTTGTTCTAACTTCCAAGCATCCATCCCTGAAAAATGAATCTGGTTGTGGCTGCCTGGTAACCCCTGGGATGGGAATAACTTGCAGCTGGTTTTGCCTCTATCTTTGTGTAAGTCAATTTGGGAAAAACAGCTGGCAGCATAGGTAATCTCCTCATACTTCCCTCAACCTCTCTCAAGTCCGTTTTTCAGCAAGTACTTACAACAAAAATGACTGAGTTTTCGGGTTGCTGTTTACCTTCCCTTTTACTGTACAGAAATGGCGCTTATGCTGAAACTGGGGGAGCTTATACCGAAGCATGTTGGGCGGAGCAAGAAAGACAAGGACAAGGAGGGGGGCGGCGGAGGGGGTGGGGGTGCAGGGGGGTCGCATGGAGCAGGGGGTGGTTCCGAGAAGAAGGGGAAGGGAGGGAAGAAGAGGAGATGACGAGCAGGGGGTTGATGTTACACAGTAACTTCAGTTGGGGGTGGGGGTGCAGGGGGGTGCAGGGGGGTCGCATGGAGCAGGGGGCGGTTCTGAGAAGAAGGGGGAGGGCGGGAAGAAGAGGAGATGACAGGGTAGGGGGGAGTGTGGTATGTGAGTCATGTTAAACAGGAGCTTTAAATTCCATCATACCAACAGAAATGTCAGTTGCGGATGGGGGTGCAGGGGGATCGCATGGAGCACGAGGCCCTTCAGAGAAGAAGGGGGAGGGAGGGAAGAAGAGGAGATGACAAGGATGGTCAGAAAATAGGCACTGGTTTTAACCTTTTCCTCCTGCTGTATGTACTGCAGGAGGTGGTTTTAGACTTGAAGGCGACATCCCGATGGGTGACGTAGTCTCTGGTAATTGGTCAGGAAGATCTGGCTTTCTGTTACACTAAGTGGCATGGCATGGCAGGATCAGCTCAAAAACAAAATGAAAGCTTCCAAGATGATAGACCATGGACTAATACACCACAGAAATCCTACCGTACTTGAAATGCGGTACCTACTGTAGGTGCTACTTAGGAATGCAGTGCAGACCACCATATAAGGCCTCTGCAAATCCACCGCCCAGGGTGATGCCAGCCCTACTGCCTCCCATCCTATGAGGCCACTCATGACAAAGCGCCTGTCCTGTGCCGCCCTCCCATCCTGCTGCTCATTTTCTTCTCACCTGAGAACTATCCTAACTGTACTAAAGCAGCTGCAATCAAACTTCGTCTCAATTGCACAGAATTGATGCACCATACCCCACTCCCTCCCCCCACTCCTCTCCCACACCCCCTCCTCCCCTTTCCCCCCTCCTATCCCAAAACTCCTTTCTCCACCCCCCTCTTCCCCTCCTCCCCCCCTCAGATCCGCCACTCATCAAATAGTTTCCAGTCTCCCTCGTCAACCCCCGAACGTCCATAATAATAGCCCTCCTCCTCCTCCTCCTCCTCCTCCTCCTCCTCCTCCTCCTCCTCCTCCTCCTCCTCCTCCTCCTCCTCCTCCTCCTCCTCCTCCTCCTCCTCCTCCTACCTGAAATCATATTGGATCTTACAACCGGTTACCGCACCCTGATAAAGTCACATGTTACAACCCTCCCCCTCCCTCCTGCCCGAATTCGTCACTCATCACATCATCCCCACCGTCCATCTCATCTCTATCCCCCTCATCCTCGTCCTCCTCCTCTTCCTCCTCCTCCGCCTCCCCTTCGACCTCCTCACCCTCCCCCTCCCCGTCCCTCCCTCCCGCCTGGCCAATCGGCGCGGTCCCCTCGTTAGAAGCACGCACCGCTAGAAGCTGTTGCTCGTACGCTGCCTCGCGCGCGGCCAATAGGGCTTCTTCGCTCAGCGCTGCGAGGGACGCGGGAAGCTCTTCGACCGCCGGGGGGCGGAGATCGGGGAAATGAATGAACCCAAACGACATGAGCAAGTTAGAAACAACGCGAGCGCGACTCCAAAACTGGTGATTTTATCCTTTTTGGTTCTCTCGTAGTTCCAACTTAAGCGTATGGGTAGGAGAAGACGGTCAAAACGTTTGTCCGGAAAATCGCGAACGCTGTCAGGCGCGGCGTGAGGGGGATGAATGGCGGAGCGCGAACAACGCAACAGTAGGGAACACAGCGACAACAATTACTGTGATCAGAGTGCGAGAGCTAGGCTGCACAGACAAAAAAAAGTATGTGAGTATGTGGCGCGGTTTGATACGATGTCTTTTCGTGGCAGAACGGTTTGGTACGATTCCTCACAGCAACTTTCAATAGAGTGATTCGATAATACCTTTTCTATGTCCGCTATCAGTTCCAACATAATCATGATGCTAAATGCACCAATAGCAATTACAACTAATCAACACTCTAAATCTAGCACTATCAATGCGCCGCATCCAGATGCACATTAAGGTCTCGCTCGCTGTGCACCATCACACCACAAATCGGACACCCCACATTCAACGACCTCCCAGAAACCGCCCCACTCACCCCGCTCGCTCCACCTGCCCCATCCCTTCTCTCCAATCCCCCCTCCATAATCCCACCCCTCGTCGCAACATTCCCTACTTGCCCCACCATACCATCACTTCTTTCTTCCAACCCCTTCTCCTCAAAATCTCCGGCATATGCTCTTACCCAGTGCTCTTCGTCCATATCTGTGTGCATGCGTGTGCCCCGCGCACCACCCACAGCAGCAGGAGCATTCACAGGTAAAGCAGCAGCAGCTGCAGCAGTGGTGGTAGCAGCGGCAGCAGCTGGCGACGCTGCTGACGTGGCAGGCAGCGAATGGAAAGCCGCCATGTGGACATCCATTTCTTTCAGCATAACCGGCCGTCTGCACGTGTCACAGGGGGCCGTGCGGGACCCACAGTGTGCCTCGTGGGGTGAGAGGCCGTTGAGACGGTCTCTAGCGGAGAGGGGCGGGCCGAGGGCCGGCACGAGGGCAGCACAGAAGCGACAGAGGATGGGGCGATGGGGACAGGTGGTGCGCCGGTGGTGGTGCTGGTGGTGAGGAGTTGGATTAAGGGTGGGGCGGGTGGGGGGAGAATGGAAGGGGAAGCATTGAAGCAACATTTTAGGCACGGGCAAAGGGAGGAGATACTGGGGTAGAAAGCCTGCCTGTTTGAGGCGCCTCAAAATTTTTGAGGCGCCTAAAAAACATTCTAGGCACGGGCAAAGGGAGGAGATACTGGGGTAGTAAGTCTGCCTGTTGAGTCGACTCAAAAGTCAGCATGGGCAAAGGGAGGAGATACTGGGGTAGTAAGTCTGCCTGTTGAGTCGACTCAAAAGTCAGCATGGGCAAAGGGAGAAGATAATGGGGTAGTAAGTCTGCCTGTTTGAGCTCACTCACACGCACTTACCCAATTACCAGCCTTTCACTCGAACCCACACTCGCACACCATCTCCTGCATCATCTCACCAATCACCCTGTTACAATGTCACACTTACTACTTCAGCAGCCTTGCCCATGAGTCCGCATTCGCACACCATTTCTCCATGCAAAACCCGCTCGTGCTTCTCCCTCTCCCTGCGCCCTCCAAACACCTCCCCACACTCCCCGCAGTGCTGGTGATGCTCGCCGCCCGATTCCAAATCCGCCCGCCTCAAAACCACGGAGCACCCGGGATGCGGACAAACAACGTTGTGCCGGGAACAGTAGGCCTCGTGCAGGGGCAGCGTGCGGGTGGCGATGAGCTGGCGACAGTTGGCGCAGCGGGATTGGTCGGTGGGAGGCACAGCAGCGGCAGCATCACCACCACCACCACCACCAGCAGCAGCAGCAGCAGCAGCAGCAGCAGACGTAGATGGGTCTAGATCCGAGGAGATTAACTCTTTAGAGTGCGCAGAGAGATTGAACCTACAAGTACCTGCTACACCATGCACTGCTATAGTGTACGTTGCAGGCTCCTTCAGCCCTTCAACTGCTGCTGCTGATGACACTGCTGCTTCTGCTGCCCCTGGTGCTACAAATATCGCCTCTTCATCTGTTGTCGTTTTTGCTGCTGCTGGTGGTGCTGTTGTTGGTGCTACTGCCGCTTTTGCCAGTGCCGATGCAGAGAGAACAAGCGTCTTGGAGCCAATGGGGAGAATGGATGATACGTCATGGTCCAATAACGAGGGGTACACAATCGGGTGCCTGGACAGATACAAGTCAGCATCCTCCTCCGCCACGTCAGCACCTCCTCGTGCCACGTCAGCAGCCAGCTCAGCGGATCCCCCTTCAAGCTGCAACCGAAACTCCAGTTCTACCTCCCCCAGATACAACCTTCTCCCCAACCTTCCATCCACATAAACCTTGAAATACCTCCACTCGCCCTCCTGAATCTTCCCTGCCAGTCCCTTCCCCCCTATAGGCAGCACCAGTAAGCGCCTATCAGTACTCCCCACGTGGATCACCTCCCTCTTAACAACCCCTCCGCCTCCTCCTCCTCCTGCCATTCCTCCTCCCTCTGTCCCCTTCCCTTTCTCCCCTTTCTCTCCTTTCTCGCCTTTCTCTCCTTGCTCATCTGTTTCTCTAAGCTTTCTCCCAGTGCCAGCCTTAGCCCATCCCCCGTCCCCCTCATTCTTCCCATCCCTCCCCGCATTCCCCATTTCTCCTTCCTTCCCCTTCCCCTTCCCTTCCCCCTTGCCTTCCCCTTGCCTGTTCCCCATCCCCCCCTTGCCTTCCGCTTCCCCCTCCCCCTCCCACGGCGACAGCTCAATTTCCACGTCAGCATCAATCACTGTAGCAGCGCCGCTCGCGCCGCCCACGCCCTTCACCTCGCACACGCGCACCGCCACCTCCCCCAACTCCGACCCGACCAATAGCACGTCGCCACGTGTCAGCGCCGCCTGGCCCCGCAGCGCCGCCTCCAGAACAGCGCGGTGGTTCGCCACGTCAGCAAGGAACCCGTGGCGCAGCGGCTGGAGCCGCGCGAACGTGGCTTTAGGGAGTTTGACGAAGCGGACGCGCACAGGCGGGGGAGAACCGGACGGATTAAAGACGTCTATAATCCCTGATAACCCCAGATTTCGGAGTATAAGAGGTGGTAGACCTACGCAGCCCTCCGGCGCAGTAAACTCCAAAACGCCTCCGTGCGTCACCCTCCGCTTCACTCTTCTCCCGTTATAATCGCCCCCGTTAATATCAACATCGACCGCAGAATCACCCTCGTCTGCGTCATCCTCTTCCTCCCAATCAACCTCCATTCCGCCAGCCGTGCTTCCGCCAATTGCGCTTCCGCCGGTTGCGCTTCCGCCTGCCGCGCTTCCGCCAACGGCGCGCGGAACGGAGAGCTCGAAGAGCATGGGTCCTCTATCGAGGGCCTCCTCGAGCGGGAGATCCGACAGCACCGACTGAGGGAGTGTGATCTTATCGCGGTCGCCCGCTATAGCGACGGGAATCAGCTCGCGATTAAAGCGGATACCGCCTCCTGCTTGCAGATCGGCCTCTAATTGACGCCGAGCCTGACGGAAATAAAAACAAAAATGGTTATTTTCTAATTTCCAAATGGACGAGGGTATAAAAGAAAGAAAGAAAGAAAACAAAGCAAAAACAAAATGGGGAAGAGAGAGGAAAAGCGGGAAACAAAACAAATAGGAAAGGCAGGAGTTGTGGGCTGTTCCATCCTACACACGCAATCCCTAAAAGCAGCTGATCAAAGCGAAACAAATCACTCACAGTTTCAGCAGCTGCTGCCTCCTCCAACCGCTTGAGCCTCTGCGCCTCTTCGATAGCCCTCCGACGCGCCTCGATCTCTTCCTTCGCCTTCCTCTGTCTCTCCGCCTTCACGCGCGCCGCCTCTCGCTTCTCCCGCTGCTCCTTCTCGTATCGCTGCTGCGCCCTCCGCAGCTCAAAATCCATGACTGTCTGCTATCGATGCGTTTCCGAAACACAGCTGTTCTATTCCTTTCTAGGACTCACGAAACCGCTAATTTTGTTGAACCAGAAAGGAAAAGTCAGATCCGGCTTGAATTTCCTATAAGCCCTTCCGCGCGCCGCCGAAACCTGCTGTGGCAACGCTCTCGGAAAATGCTATGAGCTCACGAGATCTATTTTCTTGCGCGGAACGGTAATTACACAAAACTATTTTACACAACCCACAGATGTTTCTCTCCACAGTCAGCTTGGAAATTGGCTTCTCCTAGAAGGTACCTGTCGTCGCGTCGCCCGAATCGGTGGCACGTGTTGCTGCTTGAGGAGAAGTCGAGAGAATCGCGACCGTTCGTTCGTTCTTCGTTGCTTCTATGCTGCTTCGCTTTTTCCTGGACGTGCCTCGAGCTTTCCCGAAGCAAGTGGCGTGGCGTAATGCAGTGGGGTGGGGATACCAAGAAAAAACTTGATTACCTCCAAAACTCATAAGAAACTTCTTACATTCAAGCTTCCTTTCCAACATAGCCAACTCAACTTTCTGACTGTTTCCCCCCCCCAAGGAGAACTGATTGAATTCCATAGAGAAGCCTACCAATAAGCAGACTAGCACACAATAAGCAGACTAGCACACAATAAGCAGACTAGCACACAATAAGCAGACTAGCACACAATAAGCAGACTAGCACACAATAAGCAGACTAGCACACAATAAGCAGACTAGCACACAATAAGCAGACTAGCACACAATAAGCAGACTAGCACACAATAAGCAGACTAGCACACAATAAGCAGACTAGCACACAATAAGCAGACTAGCACACAATAAGCAGACTAGCACACAATAAGCAGACTAGCACACAATAAGCAGACTAGCACACAATAAGCAGACTAGCACACAATAAGCAGACTAGCACACAATAAGCAGACTAGCACACAATAAGCAGACTAGCACACAATAAGCAGACTAGCACACAATAAGCAGACTAGCCTCTCTCACTTCCACTCTCACTACCACTCTCGTTTCGGAAATCGTACTCCACAATCAGACCCAGATTGTCCACTAATCGATGAAACTTCTCGCAGCCGCCACACTTCAGTGTGCATTGAGGGGAAAACAAGGGAACAATGGGGCATGAGCAACACAGAAGGACGAGGCGCAATAGCACAAACGTAAAAACAAGGGACTCAAGTCACATTAGGCACATTATAAGAGGCATGGGACATTCGAGTGAAATGAACTAGGAAGTCATCTTGTCTCCCTTGCCCATCTTTCCTCCCCCACACCTGCACAAAGGCTGTTCCCTTCTTCAGCGCTATGGGATTGGCCTTCGTGATATTTTGACACCTCCAAACTCCTCAAAAGTGAGGAGCCTCAAAAATGTTTGGCCAGCCATGAGGTTCAATGACACCATGAGGCGCCACACACCTAGCATATCAATGTCACCTCCACACCGCCTGTTTCCTCTCACCTTTCACCCTCAGCTAACTCCCTCACTAATCATTCTCGCCCATCCCATTCCCCCCTCCTTCCCCCCTCACCTGCACGAAAACTGTTCCTTTCTTCAGCGCCAGGGGGGTAGCAAGCCGTGAGGTGCGGGCGCCACACGCTCCACACGTGAACGTCGCCTGCACACTGCCCTTACCTCCTCCCTCTCCCCCTTTCTCACTCTCACTACCTCACTCCCTCACTCCCTCACTCCCTCACTCCCTCGCTCCCTGAAGTCCTCAATTCCCTGGTCCCCACATTCCACATCCCTCATCCCTTCTCTTCTCCGTCCCGATACCTTCCTCACCTGCACGAAAACTGTTCCCTTCTTGAGCGCCAGGGGGTTGGCTAGCCGTGAGGTGCGGGCGCCACACGCTCCGCACGTGAACGTCACCTGCACACTGCGTCGCTGGCTTGGGTCCGAGTCCAACACCGAGCCTAGCACCGTGCCTGATGCCGAGCCTGCTGGCGAGGCCGGGTCTGAGGCTGCAGGTAGGTCGCCTTGTTCCGTCTCGCCTGCGACAGAGAGTGGCGGGGTGAGGTGGTGATGGGATTTAAGGGGTAGGCAGTGGTGGTCAGTGGTTCAGCGGAGTGGACTCAATTCGTAACGCCTGTGACAGAGAGTGGCGTAGTGAGGGTGGTGATGGGATATAAGGGGGAGGCGGCGGTGGTGGGTGATTTATTACTTTCAGTCTCAAAATCCGTCTAGCCTGTGACGGAGAGTGGCAAGGTAAGGTGATAACTGGAGAGAAACAAACGCGCTGAGACGTCTCGCGTTGAAGGGCTTGCTCTAGAAAAGCTGACGTTTTCGAATGGGGAGAGGTGGTTAATCATAATGCAGTGGAGTGAAAGCACCATCCTGAGAACATACACTTATCCAGTGACCTGTTTTTGAGGGGCGTCAAAAGCCACCTCAAGGACGCAGTACAGTGAAAGCACCATCTTGAGAGAAAACGCTTATCCAGTAACTTGCTTCTAGAGTACTCTAAGAACGACCCGCAGACACTTAATGGAAACAAGCTTACCTGTTTCAGGATTGTGTTTGGAGAAAATCCTAGTGTGACTGACACGAATTTTGGTGCTATCAAGCCGAACCCCTATTATTCGCTGCTTAATCTTCTCGTTTCCGCCGACTTCTGCTATAGAAAGGCTTCTTGTCTCCGGTTTGGGCATAAATACCCTGACAGTATGTTTCACTCTTGAGGCATGAAGCTGTGGAAGTTGAATGGGCGACCATCGTACTCGGGAACTGACAGTAGCTGAAGCCATTTCTTCGAGTGGCTGTAAGAAGAATAAACAGTCGCGACAGCCGCTGCAGCGGAAATCGCTGCAATGATTAGCTAAAAAGTATACTATGTGGCAGAGAACTAAAGGGGAACTAAGCGGTTTGAACTGGGAGCGAGTGGCTGGCCTAGCATTCTAGCAGCTTCCATCCACCAATTTTTGGAAGACTGAATGGGAGATGGGACAGGAAATGGGAATGAGAGGAGGGCCTCGGCGAAAGTCATAACGAGGCTCGACGAATGATCGAGACTGGAAAATACACAGGGCTGCGATTGTGTCGTAACCACCCTGGTGAGAAACCCATTTACGCGAAATTTCTGCCATCTCTTCGGGAAAGTTACGCTGGTTGAAATGGCTCGTCAACGCCTCGCATTACGCGATTGAAGGACAAAATGTGGTAGTGGTCACCAAAGTAGTAACCTTCATGATGGGAAGTGACATCTTTCGCGAGGGTGTGTCGTGAATCGCGAAGCGAATGCAACGGTCACTCAATTCCTGTCGGAGTCAGGGAGGGAATCTGCCTGAACAGAGGAATCTGTCAGGTCACAAGAATCTTGGAGGTGTCGCACCGTTGGTCACCGATTTGGTTGGCCATCGCTTCCCGCGATAAACTACAGTACCTTTCGTTAACTGCTTTGCACCGCAACGCACCAGGAGAAAGCTAGTACGTGAATTTCAAGGCAATATGCAAAGCACTCCCTGGGCCAGCCAAACCCGTCAAGTCCATCACGATGGCATCTTCTAATGGAATCAATCAACGATTCCGCACTTCTGGTTCTCCGTTTCCTCGAGGCATTCTCGCTTAGAGATAAAAAGCAATTCGCCGTTTCTGTAGCTGATGTACAAGTAGCTTGATTTGCGTTCCCGTCGCGTTCCGTCCTATAGAAATCACGTCATAGCTCTGTCCAGTACGCGACGATCACGCCTCCGTCATTGCGCTCGACACCACAATCAGTCCGTTCCAGTTCGTAGAACTCATTATTTTTTCTCTGACAAATTTTGCACTCTGGATACTGCTCCTCGTTTCAATCACCTCCTCCTCCCATGTTTCTGATACAAGCGGTCAAGCAGCCTTTGGTGTCTTCGTTTCCCCTCTCATTCCAAAATGACTTCTCAGCAGCCGAAATTTACGCACTGGGGTTTTGGGAGCGTAACACCCTCATTAGAAGCACATCCGATAGAAGCTCAAGCAGGTCCACTAGAAGAGAACTCAATTCAGCAAGCGAACGCAACCCAGGCAGCGCATCCCCCTGACGCAGCCATGTCATCCGAGTCAGCAAGCCAGCAGTACACGTCATCAGTACTGACGTCAGCACCAGCAGCTGAATCAAGGTCTACTATAAACGTTTCTCGTCACCCCAGATTTGTGTCGCCCAACGGAACTCCACTCCGCTCGCCTCCGTCACATCCGTTACAGTCTCACCCAGCCTCCGATTACCCCACTTCCCTGTCACTCCCCAGCTCGCGAGAATCCCTGCAATCCCCGCTATTAGCACGTCCCGCTGTAGCACGCCCCATCCGACGCCACTTATCCGCACATAATCTCCTGAACGAAGCGGATTCACACACCATCCACCTCCCCACACACAATTTCCTCCTCTCCCTCCTCACCTTCCTCCTCCTAGCATACCTCACCTTCCGCGAAACCCTCTTCTTCTACCCGCCATGGTCCTGCTCATCCTTCCTTCGCCTCATCTCCCCTCTCTTCTCCCTCACTCCCTTCCTCGCACTCCTCCTCTCCATACTCGCCCCCTTACCTCTCCTCTTAGGCTCCCTATACCTCCTCTCCAGTCTCTCGGCCTCTGCTCTCCGCGCTTTAACGCTGGTTCTCTTGTTGATATGCTTATATGCGACTATCGAAGCTATTATAGCGCAGCAACCACAGCCAATTCAGGTTCTGACGGACCACCAGACCCTCACCAGTCTCAGAACCCTCACCAATCCCCAAAACGTCTCAGCGTCTACCTCTCAGTACCGTTTCAGACCATTCTTCCATCACGTACATCTCTTCAACTCCCTGTCTCCCCACAGATTAGGCATTTCCCCTGACGAACGGTTACTTGCCCTCTTTATCTCCCTCCTAGCTGGTTCCATAGGACTGATTCTCCTCTTCCTCCTCCTCATCCCCTCAACCCCACCCTCCCCTCTCCTTTCCTCCCCTCGCTCCCACCATCCCAGTCACTTCTCTCTCGCATCCTCAGCCCTCCGATCAACTGGGCTTCTTCCATCCAGAGCCGTCCGATTTCTGCTGCTGCTGCCCCCCCTGCTCTCTGTTGCAGCTCTTTTGTTCCTCCTGCCCTGGTTTCTTGCGGCGATCCGATTATTCGTTGTCTGACCGAGTGCAGGATTTCGAATGCCTGATCTGGCCTTTGGCTCCAGCTCCACTTGGCAAGGCTCGGCAGTGCATAGTGCAGGTATGCCAGCTTCGGCAGAAGCAGTCGCAGGTCCGGCGGTTGGTTCGGTGTCAGGTCCGGTAGCACAGTGCTGTGCGGAATGGAGGGAGGCACTAGCGCCTTGGGGTGTGACTAAAGGCGAGGAGGTTATAGTGGGGTCTGGCGTGATCTGGCTGGCTTGTGTTGGCCTGCTGCTGCTGTGGCTGCTGGTCTCTGCTTTTGTCGCTCTCTATATGCACCTTCCGATAGCAGTAGGGGAAGGTGAGGGTGTGGGGGAGAGGGGGAGAGTGAGGGAGGGGAGTGAGGAGGGTAGTGGGAGTGAGGGGGGTGAGGAGGAGATTGTAAATGTTTGTAACTTTGTTGGGGGGTGGGGAGAAGAGGGGCGGGTTGAACAGGGGTATATGGGAGGAGGGCGGGGAGGTGGGGGGAATGAGTGGAACATCGGAGGGAATGGGAACGAAATGGGGAGAAACGAGGGGGACGAAGTGGGAGGAACCGAGAGGGAGCAGGAGGAGGAGGGTCGAGGAATTGAGGGGGGGACGGGAGTCACTGTTGCTGGTGAAGGGATGATGGTTCAGATGCAAGAGGAGGGTCATTATGGGAAAGGGCAGCAGGAGAAGCAAGAGCGACAGGAGGAGGAAGGAAATGGGGAGGGAACTGGAGTCATTGTTGCTGGTGAAGGGGGGATGGTTCAGGTGCAAGGGCGACGTTGTCACGGGGAAGGGCAGCAAGAGCAGCAGGAGAGAGAGGAAGGGAGGAAATGGAAGGGGAGAGAAAAAGGCAAGGCAGAGGGAGAGGTGGAGGAAGAGGGGAAGGGACAGGCGGAGCAGGAGGGAGAGGCATGTGAGCAAGGCACTGAGAGACGAGACAAGGTGGAATCGCAGCCGCAGGAGCAAAACAGATTGCAAAAAAAGCTATCAAAATCAGCAGTTCCGGCAGCAGAAGCAGCAGCAGCACGACCATTGGCAGTGGTAGCATCAGAGCCAACAGCATCAGGAACAAACCAAGCCTCAGAGGATTGGAAGGTGGGGTTGCCAGCCAGGGGAAGGGCAGGTGCTGCTTTAGCAGAAGTAGCTGCTTCAGGAGACGAAGCCGTTTCAGGAGAAACCGATGTCTTAGGTTCGGAAGCTTCTTCAGGTTCGGAAGTTGTCTTAGGTTCGGAAGCTGTCTTAAGTTCGGAAGCTGCTTCAGGTTCGGAAGCTGTATTAGTTTCGGAAGCTATTTTAGGAGCGGAAGAGAGAGGAGGTTTATCTAGAGGCCTGTCCAGGGAGTACGTGGCAGGATCTCGTCCACATCAGCGGCTGATTCTGGGATCAGAGGACGAGATGCTGACGTGGCATGCACAGTGGCAGCTGCTGCAAAGCTCCTTCAGGTATCTTTGTTGATTCCGTCATTATCCTCTCACTGCTCCTCGTGGTTTTGAAACATGTGGTGCCACTCTTCCGTCTCCCAACTTCGTCCCACCCCAGGCTCGCCTCTCATAACTTCGATGCGGCCTTCTTCCCCTCGCTGCTTCTCGTCTCAGCCATCGCATCAACTCTCCTCGCCATTTCCTTTGCGGTGGCGCCTCTCTTTGAGTTCACCGACTTCAGCACACCCGTGGTGCTCGGGGTGGTAACCGCCATTCACCTCGACTTTGCTCTGCTCCTCCTCATCATGTGAGACCTTCATTCATTCCACGTTTGCCATTACCGCTTGTAACATGATGGGCCCGTAGCTGTAGCCTTCTCCTTAACGCCTTCAGCACACCCGTGGTGCTCGGGGTGGTAACCGCCATTCACCTCGACTTTGCTCTGCTGCTCCTCACCATGTGAGACCCTCATTCATCAAAACCATGCACTGTTTGTCTCACCCTTTACCCTCTCCTCTCTTGTTGCACCATGCCTCCTCCCACCCCTTCTCACTCACCTTCCTCTATCTCCTGTCCCTTCTCTTCCCCAACGCTACCCATGCCCGCCATCCTCCATCCATTCCTCACCCGCAGAGTGCTCCTATCAGTGTCTGTGCAGACCCCATCGCCTCTCCTCCCTTCTCTCTCCATGACCCTCCGCCTGCTTCGCCGCTACTCCCATGCCTACCTCGCCCTCAGCTTTGGCCTCCTGGGAGTCCTCTCGTCCTTTGCAGCAGCCTGCTTCCTCCTCACAGGATTTATCCAGAACGTTATGCTGCATAACCTGCTGCGTGTGGGTATACCATCGTCTACACCATCTCTACCAATTACACCCGTGACAACAGTTTTCCCAGCATCTACACCCACTATCACCGCACCTACATCATCCATACTGTACACCACCGCATTCCTCGTTCCTCCCTTTCCGCCACCGAATCTTCAATTGCCCACGCCCTCGATACCCCTATTCTCAATCCTCCCATTCCTCGCACCCCACCAATTTCCATCATACCTTCTCCTTTCAATCAACAGCTCACATTCAACCCATACAAATCTACTCTCCACAGATGTTCAATCAGCCGTGTTGCTTATCCTAGCCCTGCCCACCTCAGCCCTCATTCTAGCTTGCCTCTTCTCTGCAGTGGTGCTGCATGCTGTAGCATCAACTCTCTTTGTCTCCCTCGCTCTCCATCAAATGGGCTCTATTCGTCTTCCAAGAGCCTTCTAACCCACAAGCTCGCCCTAACCAGCTATCTTACTGCAACCCTGCCAACCGCTCTGCCACATGCTGTGGCATCCACTCTCTTTGTTTCACTTGCTCTCCATCAAATGGGCTCCATTCGTCCCCCTATAGCCCTCTAGCCTCTAGCCCACAAGTTCGCTCTAATCCGCCCTAACCCACAGGCCCAGTCTAACCCATAGGCTTTTTCTAACCTGCAGAATCGCTCTAACCCCCAAGCTCGCTCTAGTAAGCTCGCTTGTTGTAGCCCTGCTGGTATTCTAGCCTGCCGATTCTTTGTGGTGTGTGATGCATGCTGTTGCATCAACTCTCTCTGTCACATTCTCCATCCAATGGGCTCCGCTGCATAATGTTTTCATGTACACGCGGTGGAACTAATTGGGGTGCAGACATTTTTCTGATGAATTGGTGTACATACTAAATCAACTGCTTGAATCACGCTAAGCTAGTTTCAATACACGCTAAGCTAGTTTCAATACACGCACGAAGATATTTATATCGAAAGAGCAGGAAGGACGACTTGCGGCAACTACGCGACCTTTTTTGCGAGAACTCCAGGGGTTTGAAACTCGAGCATTCTTGTTGTCACTTCGCGCATGCACTTCCGGACCAGATGCATTAGTTACACCTGGTAGCTTCAGACTAGAATGTTCTAGGTCATACAACGGACGCTTCTAGCGACAATCCGTTTCAGCCATCGCGTTCCTTGGCTAGTCGATGTAATTTCTCCTCAATTTTCCGAAACTGCGACCGACCGCATACAGCTTCATTTAGTTCGTTATTAGCCTCCTGTGAATTGCACAGTTATCGACGCTTAAATTACTGCGCACCCAAACCTATATGGAGGACAGAGGTCGGGCCGGGTCCGGCCCCCATCCCGGTTTCCGCGATGGCGCCGGCCCGTGGGGTGCGGAGCAGGGGCCTAGGGATGACGTCAGCGGATCTAACCCTAACGTGCGCGGCACGCAACCGATGATGGGGAACGGCGGAAGCTTTTCCGCCAGAGGGGGAAACGGGGAGGAGGGGGAAGCGGAACGGGGGGGTTCCGACAAGGGCGGGGGAAGGGCGGCGGAAAGGGAGGAGGGAAAGGAACGGGCTTGGGGGAATGGCCAGGGGGAAGGCGCGGGGGAGGTCGAGCGGAAGAGAAAAGGGGGAGCGGGGGAAGAGGACGACAGGGGTTTCGGAAGGGTTTGGGGGGAGCCTGGGAGATACGGGTGGGGCGGAGGGCGGAGGGATGGGGGGTATGGGGACGGGGGTTTTGATGGCGGCGGGGGTTTTGGCGGAAGAGGAGCGGGGGAAGCTGGGGGAGGTGCGCACGGGGGGAGAGGCGGGATGGGGCGCGGGGGAATGGGCGGAGAGATGGGGCCTATGGGAATGGGGGGGATGGGCATGGGGCATATGGGGGGACCGATGGGGCCAGGTATGGGGGGCATGGGCGGAAGCATGGGCGGCGGGGGGATGGGTGGCGAGGGGATGGGGGGAGGCATGGGGATGGGTATGGGAATGGGCATGGGGCATATGGGCATAGGGATGGGGAATATGGGGGGTGCGGGCGGAATGGGAGGCATGGGGGGAATGGGAGGGATGGGGAGTATGGGGGGAGGAATGCCTATGGGGGCAGGGGGTCCGCCTATGGGCGCAGGGCGTCCCCCTATGGGCGGAGACGGCATGCCCATGGGGGGAAACGGAATGGGCGGAGTGGGGATGGGCGGAGGGGGAATGCCCATGGGCGGAGGCCCAGGAATGCAGATGGGGGGAGGTCCGGGCGGAATGGGGGGACGGGGGATGCGCATGGGTCCGCCTGGGGGAATGCCCATGGGCGGAGGGGGGCCCGGGTCGGGGCCGGGAGGCGGGGGAGCAGGGGGGGCAGGAGGCGGAGGCGGAGGCGGAGGCGGAGGGGGCGGAGGAGGGGGAGGAGGCGGAGGCGGAGGGTCAGGGGGAGGGGAAAGCCGGCAGATGGGCGCGGGGGGTGCTGGAGGCCCGCCCATGGGCGGAGGGATGGCCGGAGGCATGGGGGGAGGCATGGGCGGAGGCATGGGCGGGGCCATGGGGGGAGGCATGGGCGGAAGGATGGGCGGAGGCATGGGGGGAAGGGGGGGCATGGTAACGCCTGGGGGGCGCATGGGGTATGTGGCAACGCGGGGGAAGTCAAGGGGGGCGCAAAATGACTATTCCCAACACTTCGTGGATACTGGATACAGGCCCCAGAACTTCATACGCGATATGGACGTGAATGATAGGTTTGAGGAGTACCCTAAACTGAAGGAGCTTATAACGAGGAAGGACCGGATTGTGGCGGATGCGACTACGCCTCCTGTGTACCTTCAGATGGATTTAAAGCAGGTAACCGGGTTACCAGCCATGATGAATGGATTGTGTAAGTTGGTTCTTTAGGCGCCTCATAGGTCGTGGCGGACGCTACTATGCCTCCTGTGTACCTTCAGATGGATTTGAAACAGGTAACACGGTATTCAGGTAATTGGGTAACCGGGTTACCAGTTCTGATGTTGCAACAAACAGGTAACTGTGTTTGTGAGAGAGTATGGTGTGTCATGTAACCACCCCACCTGTGTACTGTGAGAAGGGTTTTTGAGAATTCTCGTAGCAAGGGTTTTGGAGAATTCTCAAAAATCCCCCACCTGTGTACTGTGTACTGTGAAAAGCAAGCCTACACACACTTAAAAAGCAGTTTGCTAAAAGCTACTGCTGCCACGCAAGGTTCATGGCTCCTGTCTGGGGCTCGATTTTTGGGAAATTTAAAAAATCCCCCACCTGTGTACTGTGAGAAGGGTCGGAAGCATGGAAGTGAAATCTCTCAGAAGCAGGAAGTATGATAATACATGATTATGCGATTTTGAAGCACCTGTGTAATTAGGGTTTGTGATGACATGTGTTAATGTCGTGTGGTCGGTCGCATTACACCTTCACACTCACACCCCCCAACCATCCTCCCCCCTCCCCTCCTCCTTACCTCCTTCCCTCCTCCCCTACACAAACACACCTACAACCCAAGGGATTTTATCCTCTTCCCTCTTCCTTCCCCCGTTCCGTCCCACCCTCCCTCCCCCCTCCCCGAACCATACCCACAGGTCGAGTTGACGCCTGAAATATTCGGCACCAAGTTTGATGTGATTCTGATTGACCCCCCCTGGGAGGAGTATGTGCGGCGGGCGCCAGGCATGGGGGACGAGATAGAGTGGTGGACACCGAAAGAGATCATGGCGCTGAGAATCGAGGTACGAATTGGGGGAGGTAGGAACTGGGGTCGAAGGTGCTGCGAGTAGGTTGGGTTGGGTTGGGTTGGGAGGAGTATGTGCGGCGAGCGCCAGGCATGGGGGACGAGATCGAATGGTGGACACCGCAAGAGATCATGGCGCTGAGAATCGAGGTAGGAACTCGGGAGGAGGGGGGAGGTGGATACCCGGGAAGGTTGGGAAGGAGTATGTGCGGCGAGCGCCAGGCATGGGGGACGAAATTGAATGGTGGACACCGCAAGAGATCATGGCTCTAAGGATTGAGGTAGGAGCTGGGGGAGGTAGGAACTGGGGGAGGTAGGAGCTGGGGGAGGTAGGAACTGGGGGAGGTAGGAGCTGGGGGAGGTAGGAACTGGGGGAGGTAGGAACTGGGGGAGGTAGGAACTGGGGGAGGTAGGAACTGGGGGAGGTAGAAACCGGGGGGAAGAACGGGGGATGTGTGGCGGGCATGGGGGAAGAGATAGAGTGGTGGACGCCTGAGAAGATAATGGCTTTAAGGATTGTTTTGACGTCTCAAAACACTTGTTCATGCACGGTGCATGGGGGAAGAGATAGAGTGGTGGACGCCTGAGAAGATAATGGCTGTAAGGATTGTTTTGACGTCTCAAAACACTTGTTCATGCACGGTGCATGGGGGAAGCGATAGAGTGGTGGACGCCTGAGAAGATAATGGCTGTAAGGATTGTTTTGACGTCTCAAAACACTTGTTCATGCACGGTGCATGGGGGAAGCGATAGAGTGGTGGACGCCTGAGAAGATAATGGCTGTAAGGTTTGTTTTGACGTCTCAAAACACTTGTTCATGCACGGTGCATGGGGGAAGAGATAGAGTGGTGGACGCCTGAGAAGATAATGGCTGTAAGGATTGTTTTGACGTCTCAAAACACTTGTTCATGCACGGTGCATGGGGGAAGAGATAGAGTGGTGGACGCCTGAGAAGATAATGGCTGTAAGGATTGTTTTGACGTCTCAAAACACTTGTTCATGCACGGTGCATGGGGGAAGAGATAGAGTGGTGGACGCCTGAGAAGATAATGGCTGTAAGGAGTAAATGCAAGGTGGGGCTGGTTTTTAGAAGTCTCAAAATCCAACGCAAGGAGGTTATGTGGTACCGCTGTAGCCTGGCAGGAGCATATGCAAGATGGGGCACCTCAATGGGCACCATAAAGGGGGACGATACCAAGTGGTGGACGCCGCGAGAAATCATGGCGCTGAGATTTGAGGTATGCAGAGGGAGGTGTGACCTGGTAGGGTAGGAACGGGTAAGGTACTGTGAGTAGAAGCAACACGTTCGGAGAAAAGAGGCAACACCATGTAGGGAAAGGCCTTGTCTTTGCAGTGTCTGTGCGGTGTCTGTGCGGTGTCTGTGCGGTGTCTTTGCGGTGTCTTTGCGTGCGTCTTCACTTTTTCCTTGTCTGCTTTTTCTTCCCTCACGCCCTTCCCGTTCCCCTTCCTGCAGGCCATAGCGGACACGCCTTCTTTCGTCTTCCTGTGGGTGGGGGATGCCGAGGGGTTGGAATATGGGCGCATGTGCCTCAAGAAGGTGAGAAAATGAAGAAAAAGAGGGGAGGTGAGGAAGACAGCATTTTCCTCTCCTCGTCCATCCATCCATCCATCCATCCATCCATCCATCCATCCATCCATCCATCCATCCATCCATCCATCCATCCATCCATCCATCCATCCATCCATCCACTCAATAGTAGGCACGCTTGCTCGATTCTCACAGGCATGTGCTATATTGAATTGAAATATTGAAATCACTTGCTCAAAAGTGAAATCACTTTTGAGAATTCTCAAAAGTGATTTCACTTTTGAGAATTCTCAAAAGTGATTTCAATACGCTTGCTCGCTTCTCACATGCATGTGCTCGCTAGGCACGTGTGTGATAAGTCGATTTTTGAGTCGACTCAAAAATCGACTTATCACACACTACTAATGTCCTAGGCAACGCCAAGGGGTCCGAGTTTCTCCTGCTCCTCTTGCCATAAGTATGTGGAGCAAGAAGGGATGTCCCTCTTCTCTTCCTCGAATGTGCTGGGTTGATGTCATGCCTCCTCCCTCCTCTCTTCTTGCAACCTGTCATGCCTCTTCCCTCTTTTTCCCTATCTCTTCCTCTCACACAGGGGGGGGTTTCGTGTATGAAGGAGTGTTTTGAGACGTCTCAAAACATCACTCCGTCATACACGTCTCTTTTTCCCCATCTCTTCCACACGCACAGGGGGGGTTTCGTCGCTGTGAGGACATCTGCTGGGCCAGAGGAAACTGGGAGGAAACCCCACTATAGTGCTGGGATATTCATTCTTATTGCCAGCATTATTCCCTCATGTGGACTCCTCTTTCTTTCTCTCTATCATCCTCCTCCTCCCCCCTCTCTCCCCCTCACACACACACAGGGGGGGGGCTTTCGCCGCTGTGAGGACATCGGCTGGGTGAAGACCAACCGAGCGGGTGGGAGAGCAACTTTCATTGAATCTTACTTTTGAGAATTCTCAAAAGTAAGATTCACATAGCCAACCGAGAGGGTGGGAGAACAACTTTCGTTGCCATTGGTAACGCCTCATGCGCGCCCCTTTCTCTCTCATCTCCCTCCCTCCCCTCCCCATGACACATACAGTGGGGCTTTCGCCGCTGTGAGGACATCTGCTGGGTGAAGACCAACCGGGAGAAGCCTGATAGTCCCTGGGGGCACACATCCGAGACGCTGTTCCAACACTCCAAGGTGCAGTGCGGTGCGGTGCAGTATGGTTCAGTGTGGTTCGGTGTGTCGTGGTGCAGTGTGGTTCTGTGTGGTGTGAGATGTGGAATCGATTCTGGAGATTTTTTAGAAATATGTGCTTGTGAATGGATAGGCACAATGCTTCTGGTACCGACTGATACGGCACATTTTCGATATGCGCCGTGTTTCAGTTTTGATTTATGGTGCATTTTGAGTCGACTCAAAACACGCTATTGGATCGGTGCCTTCAGCATTTTGAGTGCACAGTGCCTTAAAGCCACCGACCAACATCTCGCTTTGCCCCTGCTGCTGCTTCTCCATTCTCTTTTAATCCACCTCCCTGCAGGAGCACTGTCTCTGGGCATCAGAGGCACGGTCAGGCGCAGCACAGACGGCCATGTCATTCATGCTAACATTGCTGCAGGGCGTTTTTGAGAATTCTCTAAAACACCCTGCAGCAGCATGTCATTCACGCTAACATTGACACCGATGTGCTTATACCGACCCCTCCCTTTTCCCCGCCTCCCCCCCCCCCCCCCTCACCCCTACCCCTCCTCTCTTTTCCCTTCTCAGGAGCACTGTCTCATGGGCATCAGAGGCACGGTCAGGCGGAGTGTATGTTTTTTTAGAATTCTCAAAAAACATACACTGCAACATTTGTCCCTCCCTGCAGGAGCACTGTCTCATGGGTATCAGAGGCACAGTGAGAAGGAGCACAGACGGCCATGTCATTCACGCTAACATTGACACTGATGTGCTTATATCGGAGCAGCCGCCCTTTGGTATGTGATTGTAGCCAGGCTTATATACGAGCAGCATCCTTATTTAGCTCTCTTTTTCAATTGTTCTCATCCCCTGTTCACCGCTCTCAGCCGCTTTCGAAGGCTCTCAACTGTTTCCAACCACGCTCGACCCTCAAAACTGCTTTCAACCTTTCGTGTTCTCCTCGTGTGCAAGAAGCTTGAGAAGCCTCATCAAACAGTCTGCTGTCGATTCGTTTCATCCCCTCTTCACCACTTTCGGCCGCTCTCAGCCGCTTTCGAAGGCTCTCAACTCTTTCCAACCACGCTCGACCCTCAAAACTGCTTTCAACCTTTCGTGTTCTCCTCGTGTGCAAGAAGCTTGAGAAGCCTCATCAAACAGTCTGCTGTCGATTCGTTTCATCCCCTCTTCACCACTTTCGGCCGCTCTTAACCTCTGTCAATCGCTCTCACCTCTTGCAACTCCTCTTATTCTCCTGTCAATCCCTCCTGTGCAGGGAGCACGGAGAAGCCCGAGGAGCTATACTCTCTCATCGAGCACTTTGCTCTCGGGCGGCGGCGAATCGAGTTGTTTGGTGCTGACCACAATATCCGGGCAGGCTGGCTGACCGTGGGGAAATCTCTCACCTCCTCAAACTTCAACCCTCAGGTGATTGGTCACATGCAGCCCGAGTCTTTTTTACTTTTTTTTTTTTAATTAAAAAAACAGATGTATCTTTTCTCTTTTGCCTGTATTGTCACGCTTTTCTGCACATTTTGTTTCATGCTGTTGTATTCTTCATGTCTGCAGTTATTGTGTGTTCATAATCACTGTTCATATATTAAATTTTGAAATCATTTACTGGAGCAGATTACACAGGCTCAAGGTTCAATCTCCCCCACACCACACTCCTTTCCTTCCCGCTTGGTATGTGTTCCTACCAGACCTACTGCAAGCTCTTTGCCGGACCTGACGGCAAGGTTTGGCAAGGCACGGGCCGAGGCAATCCCCCGCCTGGAGCGCCGCACCTGCTGGTTACCACGCCTGAGATCGAGGCTCTGCGGCCCAAGTCTCCGCCAAACCGCCAGCAGCACGGGAACCAGCCACAGGCTCCCATTCAGCCACAAAATCAATTTCAGCCTCCGGGCAATATGGGAAATAACCCGCCTTTTGGAGGAACGGGAGGTCCTCCTGGGGGTCATGCTGGACCAGGAATGGTGAATAATGGTCCGGGTGGAGGTTCGTTTGGTGCTGGTTCGGGCCCAGGTCAGATGCATGAAGGACAAGGTGGGGGTGTTGGGAAAAGAATGCCTCCCATCCCGCCAAACTTTCAAAATTGATACCTGATAACGCTGAAAAGTATTTTTATTTCTCTACCGTTGCTGAACTTAGCTGATGTCTTCTACAGTTCTTCTCAAAATACAATTTTGACCGTGCTCTCCTTTACGAGCACTCAGGAACAAACGCTGTCGTGGCGAAAGGATGTCGTGACGTTTCATAGCCCAGTCTCAATCGGGCATCACCGCGTGTCAAGCTGCAATTGGTCCGCTGTGAAACGGCCTGGAATTCTTCCCCTCAAAATCCACCGCACATTCTCAATTCTCAATCAGAATGGGTCACTGTTGAAAGCGGTGAGCCGCGGTTCAAACAGGTATATTCTCTGACTGCTCTTAAACGCATAAAATTGTACTCAACCGTAACTAACAGAAATATACAAGCTGTGACCCGCATAATGTTCCACAAATCCACAGCCATTATTGCTGACCAGCCATTTTTTACTTCATACAGTAGTTCTGGTACGGATTTATTACTCCTTTCTAGATTCTTCTCCCTCGGGATTGTCGCCTAGAGTCACGTAAGCCGAGGGAGTCAGCTAATGCGCGACTGGCCGTGAATCGCGGTCTCGGTCTGTTTTCACGGTGGCCGGTTAACGTCAGCACCTTGTGCCGGCAGACCGTCGGTAACGCCTAGTAGAGTTTGCTACACCGAATTCGATCGAATTTGGAATATTAACTTTGGTCGTCGATACCGCCCGCACCAACTCGCCGATATGGCCGCTGCAAGCTCTGCAATTGCCATGTCAGCCGCTACGTCAACCTGTACCGGGTTCCAATCACCCAAGCACTCCACCGATAACCACGTGCCACGTGTCAGCTCTCCTCTTTTCCGCGCACACAAGTCTGGACCCGTCCTCGCAGCCGCGGCTCGTCCTAGTACCGTTTCCCGCCAAAAATTGTCCCTTGTCTCCGGGTTTTCCGGAGCTAGAGTCAGGATTGCTGAACCAAGATCAGTAACCAACGGCGTTGTGCCACGTGTTGGAAGACCTTCCCAACGTCCTGGTCTGCTGGTTTCGGCCACGTGGCTTGAAAACAAGTGAGTGCGCAAGTGTGCGCTTGTCGAAAGTTCTCTAAGTGAAATGTTTACCTATCTGGCCGCTGGTGTGAGTCCGTTAGCTCTCGTTTTAACTCCCTGTTCACTCAGTATTGCATTAAGATGCTTGCCGGTGCTGCGGTCGCACCTTTGCTTGCGTCAGCATGTATCATGCCACCCGTTCGACGCTCATGTCTTGTCCTGTCCCACCTCATGTGCTGACGTGGCAGGGCCATGGTGGATGCGCCATCTGTCCCGCTCCCATTGGCCTTCGACCTGTGGTTGGACCGAGAGCTCATCCCTTCTTGGATGCCCTGGATTGCTTCAGTAAAAGTGAGTGAGTTCTATCCCCGCTATAAGCTGACCTGTGGTTGAACCGAGAGCTCATTCCCTCCTGGATGCCCTGGATTGCTTCAGTCAAAGTGAGTCCCTTTTATCCCCTTCATAGTCTGACCCGTTAATGGACCGAGATCTTCTTTTCTGTATGGCACAGATATCTTGCATCCATCCTTGATTTCGCTCATTTTCCCCACCCCCTCTCCTTCACCCTCCTCTTACCAGTCCTCTCCTCCCCCTCCGCCCTCTCTTCCGCACCCCTGTCCCCTTCTCTCTCGCCCCTCCCCCTGTCCCCAACTCCCCCTCCTTCCCTTCCCCCTCACGTCCTTTCGTGTGCAAAACGAAAAGTCAGAGCTGAAAGTAAGTCCCCTCACCCTCCCCCTCTCCCCCTTCCCCTTACCCTCCCTGCCCCTTACATCCCCCCCCTCTCCCCGTCCCCTTCCCCCGCTTCTTCCCCTCACCACCTCCCCAGGTGTGTGACAACCAACCAGAGCTGTCCACGTGGACGCTTCTCACCCCTCCCCTTCCAGCTCCCCAACCTCCACCATCCCTGCCATCCTTCCCCACTCCCCCTCCCTCCCCTCACCACCTCCCCAGGTGTGTGACGACAAACCAGAGCTCCCCACGTGGACCCTTAGCTACACCGCCTTTGGGCAGGCCACAGAACCTCGAGTTCTCCTTTAAATCTATTTCCCGCACCCTCCCCCACTCCCCCCCAATTCCCTCCAGGTGCGTGACGACAAACCAGAGCTCTCCACGTGGACCCTCCGTTACAACGCATTCGGGCAGAACCTCGAGTTCTCCTGGCTTGCGAAGAACCTGCAGGTGGGGGTGCAGATATGAGCCGTATGGATTGGGGGAGGGGGAAGAAGGGGGGGAGGGTGTGAAGAGGCCAGCTGCTACAGCACGTCTGGACAGAGCACGTCTTTTGAGGTGCCTCAAAAATCGTCTCAGTTCACACGGTTTTTATATGGGGAATGTTTACAGTACGTCTGGACAGAGCACGTCTGGACAGAGCACGTCTGGACAGAGCACGTCTGGACAGAGCACGTCTGGACAGAGCACGTCTGGACAGAGCACGTCTGGACAGAGCACGTCTGGACAGAGCACGTCTGGACAGAGCACGTCTGGACAGAGCACGTCTGGACAGAGCACGTCTGGACAGAGCACGTCTGGACAGAGCACGTCTGGACAGAGCACGTCTGGACAGAGCACGTCTGGACAGAGCACGTCTGGACAGAGCATGTCTAGACAGAACCTCGAGTTCTCCTGGCCTGTCAAGAGCCTGCAGGTGAGGCTGGGGAGAGGGGTGAGGACAGGTGTGGCCTGTACGGACTGGGAGAGGGGTGAAGGGGCGAAGAGGGAAAGTGGTGGAACCTTTTTGAGGCGCCTCAAAATTGGAGAGGGGTGAGGACAGGTGTGGCCTGTACGGACTGGGAGAGGGGTGAAGGGGCAAAGAGGGGAAGTGGTGGAACCTCGAGTTCTCCTGGCTTGCGAAGAACCTGCAGGTGAGGGTGGAGAGGCGCTTGCAGTTGGGTGGGGGTGGGGGAAGGGGGAAGACGTGAGGAGGGGCAGGGGACAGGGGAGGATGGGGGTTTGAGGGGGAAGAAGGCGCCGGGGAAAGAGGGGAATTGGTGCAATAACTTTCCCACAGCGGTGCCCGCAGTATATTGACCCACAGCGGTGCCCGCAGTATATTGACCCACAGCGGTGCCCGCAGTAACTTTCCCACAGCGGTGCCCGCAGTAACTTTCCCACAGCGGTGCCCGCAGTATATTGACTGCTCTTTCTTCCTCTCCTTATCCCCTCTCACATTCCCCACACCGTACTAACCCATCCACCATCAGAAGACCCATTGGAGATCCCTAGATGGCCTCCCTAACGGGGGGGGCACGACACGAGGTATAATCGCCTTTTTCCCCTTCCATTAACCTCTCTCGAACGGTCCTTCCTCCATCTCCCCCCACCAACCCATCCACCATTAAACGACCCAGTGGAGATCACTGGACGGTCTTCCCACACCCCACTAGCCCATCCACCATCAGAAAACTCACTGGAGATCACTGGACGGTCGTCCCAACAGCAGAGCCAGCAGTATACTAACTGCCTATCCTTCCTCCCTTGCCACATCCCCTGTTTTCTCCCTCCATTTTCCCACACCCCGCCAGCCCATCCACCATCAGAAGATCCACTGGCGGTCACTGGATGGTCTCCCCAACAGCTGTGCCAGCAGTATAGTAATCGCCCTTCCCCTCCTCCTGATTCCCCCCTCCATCTTCCCACACCCCGCCAGCCCATCCACCATCAGAAGATCCACTGGCGGTCACTGGATGGTCGTCCCAACAGCAGTACCTGCTGGAAGTAAACACCCTCTCCTTTCCCCCTCTCTCCTCTCCTCCTCCCTCACTTGCTCTTTTCAGCCCATCCACCATCAGAAGATCCACTGGCGGTCACTGGATGGTCTTCCCAACAGGGGCGCCGTCCGCTTCTTTCCCAGCGGGCCAAATGGCTGCAAGCTGGAGGTACTGTGGTGTGGCATGGTGCGGTGCGGTGCGGTGTGGTGTGGTGTGGTGTGGTGTGGTGTGGTGCGGTGCGGTGTGGTGTGGTGTGGTGTGGTGTGGCATGGTTCTATGCTGTGTGGCGTCGTAACATCTAAGTCACTCATGAGAAATGCTCTCAATTTCAACAGTGGCGCCAGTCGCTTCTTGTGCGGTGTGGCTTGGTTTTATGCGGTCTGATGTGGTATTATTGAAGTCACTTGTGAGACATTCACTAATACTAGTTTGTGCAATCTACACCTCTCCTGACCTCCTGCAGATGACTATCTCATACGAGGTGCCTGGCATTCTTGTCCCCGTTGCAAACGTATGCTCCTCTCACCTTTTAGTCGTCCCAAATCTCCTCTGAACCACATATGCCTTTTCAGATGTGCTCCTCCTTTCTTGACCTTCCATTATCAGCTCCTCCTCCTGTGCCTCCCTTCTCCCCACCCCCTTTTTAGTCTTCCCTTTCTCACAAGACGCTCTTAGATTCCTTTCGTTTCACCCTTCTTCCCTGGTCTTCCTTCTTCCCCTTTTCCATCCTCTTTCCTCTTCCCTTTGTCCTCTTTTTTCCCTCTCTCCCCATGCCTCCTTTCTCTTTTCCATCAGAGCCTAGCCCCATTGATGCAGAGCATCATTCAGGCTGACCTTGATCTGTCTGTTCTCTTTCCTCTTTCTTCCTCACTCCCTGTGTTCCCCCGCCCCACCCCCCCTCCCTCTCTCCCCATCAGAGCCTTGCCCCATTGGTGCAGAGCATCATTCAGGCCGACCTTGAGCGGTTTGTGGAGTTTGCCAAAAAGAGAGTGCAGCAGCAGTCGGCGTGACATGTTGATCGGGTTGCTCTATTTATGTTGATTTATATGTTTAGTTACAGTACCGTAGTTGCTGGCATGTTTGTGAACACTGGTAATAAGCATAGTGCAACCACTAAATCAATATACCTACGGTACTTGGAATTGCCCATGCAAATTTTGAACTTAATTGTTTTCCGCTCTGCCTTACTGCATCAGGCATGCCCACAGTGGTGCATAGCATGATCTTACGAGTTGTGTTACCTCTCCTTCACAGTCAATAGTATGCAGCGCATTAGACACACAAAAGCACACTGAAATCCTCACCGCAGTACAGTGGCACTGCAAGAAAACAAACAGCAGCAGTCCATCCCATGCCTTGATATTAAGCCATGGTTGATATTAAGGGGTCTGTCTGACAAAAACAAACCATGGTTTCAGCCTCATGTGGACTTCAATTGAGGAGCAGATTCTGCACTGAATTCCGCTGATTCTTCCAAAACTGTAGACCCCAGTCTGTTAGGAGGCCAGTATCTGTAGATTGATCGACCCAATACATTTTTCACTGGTAGAGGGCCCCTGCTCACAAGTAAAACAAGAGATGAAGAACCCAGGAGAGAAATCGTAACAGGACAAGCTATGGTATTAATGAAGCGAAGAGCGAAATGGCACGACAATGGTAGCATGTCAGCATGGAGAAAGCATGTAAGGCAAATCATGTTGTATGAAGCCTACCAGATGTGCGAGTCATAGCTGTTGTTACGATTGTCTCCCATGACAAACACGTATCCTGGTGGAACATACTGCGCAGGGGAGTAACAGAATGGTTGTGAGCGGTGCATGTCAGGTTATGTAAGCGCAATTGCTGGTGGGGGTCACTGATGGAAAAAAGGATGGAATCGTGAGGAAGGCGATGGGGTGGGCAAAAACAGGAGTGGTGTCGAATAAAGAAGACCAAAACAACTACCTGAGGCTTCATATCATATGCAGGTGGCTCAAAAGTGAACTCATCACTCCTCTCAACACCATTCACATAGGTTTTCCCAGCTTTAACCTGCACGAGTCACAAAGAACCATAACAGACACTTCATAGGAAAACGTCCCAGAAACATGCATGCAACCAACCAATAATGCAATTACGGTAACAGATTAGCAACAGAAGGAAAAATGGGGACAAAGAGACGGCCCTGACCTCCACAACGTCGCCGGCAGTAGCTATAATTCGCTTGATAAATACTTCGCCAGCACTGTAGCCTCGTTCCTGCGTGTAGCAAGCTCGCATGGTGAATCGTACTATACTACAACAACCACCACCATATTTCGAGCATTTCTGAAGAGAAACAATGTAGTGACGACAGAATGCGTACCTGAAGAACCTCGGGTGCCTTGAAAATGACAATGTCGCCAACCTCTGGTTCTCGGAAATAGTAGGAGACCTGCACAGGAGGATAATGAATGAGGTTTAGGTTGGCACTTCCGTTGTGAGGTTGTACAAACAGTAAAAACTAACTGATGTAAGACCGTGTCCATTGCCCAGTGCTAAATGCTTGATTCTTACATCTCCTCGCATTCGTTGTCCAAGGAATGGAAATCTCTCTAACACATGCACAGACTACTAATCATCCACGTTCCAGGACTAGGAATCCGCACGGTGTCTCACACTTCAGGTAATCTCCAACGCAGATCAACTTCCGACTATGATTTCAACGACAGCAGGCTCACCTTCTCCGCGATTATTCTGTCGCCAATGTCGAAAGTCGGAAACATTGACAGCGACGGTATAAACCGTGGTTCCGCGATAAACCATCGAAACACCAGCGATATTCCAAACGCAATCAGGACCGTCTTGGCATCGTCTGATGTCAGATCAAGCCAATCGGGTAACCAGCTAGGCCTGTTGGCATTTTCGCCGGACTCCCGCTGACTTTCAGGTTCCCGATCGCTCGTCGTAGACATATTTTTGCCTTTAGAGCTTCCATCATCTCCCCCTCCCGTTTCACCCTCCTCGCGAACAGCAGGAGCTCCGACGTCCCTCTCTAAGCTGCCATTCCTCCGAGACCCAGACGGGATGCCGTTGAGCGCCGCTCGTGCATTTGCTCCAGATCGGACGGTGACGAATGATTGAAGGCCGGAAATTGCGGGTCTCGAAAGTCCTGATGATTCTCTAAGGGACGAACGAATACTGCTTCGGAACACAATACTCGCCGGTCTACATTTTCTATTCAAATTGCTACGGACTGGAAAAGGCGAAACGGCTGCGTTGCTTTGAAAGATGGCTGCATCGCCAGGTGTGCTCGTGAAACCGCGATCCATAATTCTAGAGCTTGGACAAGCGGATAAGGCCGCCGCGTTCACCATATCGAGAGCTTTACTGTAATGCGAGGAACTTCTTCAACTAGGCAGCCCAGCGTCGGCTGGTCAATCGCCGGAAGAGCACCGAGGACGATACAAGGACGAACGCGTTAGAGACGACGACTGTATTGTGCGACGCGCCAAAAGAGGACCAGCATAAAACGGAAACTGAGACGCTGCTACCGCTGATGCCGCTGCCGCCGCTGCCGCCGCTGCTGCTGCTGCTGCTCTGCTCTCAGGCTGGTTGAAGTGAGCCCTACCCTGAGCAACGCATCTGTTCTGTTACATGTGATGTGAAATCTAGGAAGGAACCACACCAGAGCAGCCTTATCCAAAAAACAGTTGGGGGAGAATCTCGACTCGAGGAGAAGACATTTTGTTTCTCTATATCTTGCAGTACTGCATCGCGTATTTTGGAAACTTTATGTCACCCAGAAACACGTCGCGGAAAAGACGACGCCTCAAGAAGATGCAACAACGCGAAAACATCCGATTTGGGTACATATTCGGCGTGTACGTTAAATTTATTATCTTACACAGCCCTAGAACAAGATAACAGCTCAATCATGATTTTAAGATTTTGAATTGCTACCAGCAGACAAAAACCTGTGGAAACTATATGGGTTACGCGTTTCGTATAATCTGAAAAAAAAACATTCATTTTTCGCAAAAAGGGCCATACTGACAGTATGTACTCAACAAACCCCTCGCACAGGCCAAATATGCCGTTACAAACGCGTATAATGAAATGGAAAAGAAGCGACTCGCCGTGCCACATGCCATTTCAAACTCCATGTGCAAATACACTGTAGACCTCTCCTCACACAGCGTTGATTGGTGGGCACGGGTCGCGGCCTTCATCAGTCTTCAGGCAAGCATGGCTGATTGCTCCATCCATAGGTTCCAGCCATGCGAGTGAGCGAGCGATTCTCAAGGTCAGGCCAAAATTGGGCGGTGAGGGGCTTCTTTCTGGGAAGCATGTGTAACATCTAGTAATCAGCGACAGTTTTGAATATTCGCACTTCCTTCGCTTGTGTCGAGTCGCCCAGAATTCTGAGACAACATGTGTAACATTCTAATGAACGATTCGCACCGACTTTTCGCTCTGTCGCGCACCCCTGGCAAAAACCCACATGCAGCATGTGGGAGCAAGGCGCGCGTCGTTGCCACTTTTGTTGCTCCTCTGCTCGCATCAGGAAAGAAACCAACTGTCCAAGTCGACCGTACCTACAAGCAAGCGCCATAAAAATGGCGAGTGATAAGAACAAAAATCACAACAATCTTCCAGCAACCCACAGCTCAAGCCTCCCACTCTTCCTACTCACTTCAACTCGTCACTCCCCTGAGGTTCAGTCCCATCAGATTCTGCAACTGCGACTCACTCATTCAACGCAAAACGCATTTTCCGCACCCCCAGCTCATCGGACTTCTCAGTTACACACGCAGCCATGAGTCAGTTCAACACTTCGTTTTGGGCCATCGCGCTCCTGTCGGCATTGGCCGTTTCTGCCTTCTCGGCCGCCGATGCGCAGTCCTACATGGCGTCTCGCGCTCAAGCAGCCAGAAAGGCCGCGAACGACGCGGACGCGCTGGCGCTAACAGCGCAGGCGGATTACAACGAGAAGCTCAAGGCGGAAACCGCGGCTAAGAAGGCCGTTGACGACGCCGACGCCGATCTGGCCGCCGCGCAGACGGAACTCAATAACAAAAAGAAGCAGCTCGACGACACCAAGGCTAAGGGCGAGAAGGCGCGCCAGGATACGATCAGGTTGAAGCAGACTGTGCGCGACGAGCAGGCGTATAACGACGAGCTCGAAATGGACGCTGGCGAGGCGGATAACGACGAGAAGGAGTTCGCGAAGGATATCGTCGACGCGCAGGCGCGCGCGAATCTCACGGCGGATCTGCTGGCGGAGCAGAACGCGATCGTTAAGGAGGCGACTGACGACTCGACGTACTACGCGCGGCTCGCGACGAAGCTCAAGACGCCGGAGGCGCAGGCGGATGCTCTCGAGGCGCAGTCGATTCGCGCGCAGGCGGTTCGGATTCAGGGCGCGCTTGTGAAGCAGGCGCAGCGGTCCGTTGAGCGCGTTGGCAGGATGCAGTTTGAGTGGGCTGCGACCAATAAGGACAAGGCCGAAACGAGGAGCAAGGCTGACGAGCACAAGGTTGTGCTGGACAAGGCTAAGAAGGACGCGTCGGACGCCGAGGCGCTTTACAACTCGGCTATCGTCGAAGCTAAGACTATCGACGCGGCGGTCAAGCAGCAAGCCGCCGTGGTCGTGGCGAAAACTAAGGCCGCGAAAGACGCGCGAATTCCGCTCGCGAGGGCCGCAACCGCTCGGGCTCAGTCCGAAACCAAGTTCAATGCGCTCAAGTCGCGCGCTGACGGATTTAAGGCGGCTGCGGACAAGGCGCAGAAAGAGAACGCCGAAGAGGCCAAGAACGGTAACGGTAACGCCTACGGCAGCACCAACTAGCTTGGTTGCTCCGTGAAAAATACGGCCTAAACCTCGCCCACGTCCCCCCCTTCCCAATACTGCCGACACTCTCTATGCCCAAATTAGTCCGGATGCTCCTCCCGGCGCTCCCGACCCGACATTCTCGACACTCCCAAAACCCCCCGGGTCTTTTTTCATTCACATCTTTGATGCTTAGATTTTTCCTCTGGGCCAAGAAAATGCCTGCTGGAGCCTACCTTGGGCTCTGTGCTTGGGAGCGCACTTATCTTTGTCTGTGTTGCTAGCGGTGTGGACATGTGTGCTGCCTGAGAAATAAAGGCATGTAATATTTATTCGTTCAATGATACTACATGGATGCATCATTTCATACACTCTTGTGCCCGAAATCCGCTCCTTGGAAGGCTGAAGGAAACAGTAGCCCAAAAATAGTGTAAATGAGAGGGACTGGAAGGGAATTTTGTGATTGAACTGCCCCCAGAACCTGATTTCCTATCGGAAACAGCTTAGTCTACATCTCAGGGCAAAGAGAAAGAAGGACTTATCTTGTGAGCAGCCATAACACATTCAAGCATAAACAATGCACTAAATAGCCAAAGAAGAGGCAATGGATTAGTGAAAGAACAAAAAAATCCTTAACTGTCCATCAATCCAAACCTGTAGTTGCCTCCAGATGATTCAGCTCTGAAATCTCCTTCATAAACCTGTGCAGTGCACGTGACAGGGAATACAAGGGCGCACGCACAAGAACAAGTTTTGAGTTGACTCCAATATTAATTGAGCTCTGCAATCTCTCTTACCCAAAAAACGGGCAGCAGCACACAGTGAATGTTGGGATTGGCTGCCCATGAAATAACATGTGCCAAATCAGCCAAGAATTTTCGAAGGGTCTGCCCAAAAAATGCTGGGGCTGCCCATGAAATATGCGCTGATGTATTGGGCAGCTCATTTGGTGGAACTGAGGACTGCATTGCACTGCAGCAGTATGTCCAGGGCTTGGCTTCCCAGGAAACAACATGGGCTACAGTACCAGTGTGTGTACTGTACCATCTCAAACCACACTGTGCCGCCCGGACGGCAAACAACATGTGCAGCAGTACCAGACAGGCATCTCACCTGGTGAAGCTGAGGAGGGCACTGCCAGCCAAAACGACCCGCATGTTGGATTGGGCGTTTTTTTTTTTTTTTTTTTTGCCCTGCTTTAAAAAGAACATGCGCTACACCAGCAAGACAGCTCACCTGGTGGAATTCAGGAGGGCAGTGCCACCCAGAACGACCCGTGTGTTGGGATTGGCTGCATTGAACAGTGCCACGGCTCGCGCCTCCTCGTAGGTTGTGCCGCCCACCACAAACACAATCAAATCTTGGGACCTGCAATAGCAGGAATCAGTGGCAGGGGGATTAGGCAAATGCACTTCGTATCACCAGCGCCTGCAGGAAGGAGTCATCATCATAGGTGTGTTGATTGCTTACCGATGTGAAAAAGGTGTGTTAGCGCGACAATAGGTGCAAATTTGCGGTGACAAGCGCAATAATGTAAAAACAGGTGTGACATTGTGAAAATAAACGCAATCCTTTGAAAAAGGTGCAATGATTTGAAGAAAGGTGCAATCATGGGACCTTGTCCCCCTCTTTCCCTCGATCTCCCTTCCTCCAGGCCCCTCCATACCTATCCACCCCTTTTCACCCCTTCCCACTCCCCACCACCTTTTTCCACCCCCCTCCTAACCCACCTGGACTTCTGGAAGTCCCCGAGATGAACGGGCGATCAGCCACCTCGCTCAGCTCCCCCCTAGTAGCCACCGCAATCCTTTCCACCCCATTCCACCTCCTCTGACACCCTTCCACCACTCCGCCTCTCCCCCTCCACCTGGACTGCTGGGAAATTCCCTGAGATGAACGGGTAATCCGGCTCACTCAGCCGGCCCGTAGTGGCAACAGCAATTATCTATGACAGACACACCTCTCAACCCCATTCCACCCCATTCCACCCCCCCACCTGGACTGCTGGGAAATTCCCTGAGATGAACGGGTAATCCGCCTCGCTCAGCCGCCCCTTAGTGGCCGCATCAATCCCTTCCAACCCACTACACCCCATTCCACCGCACCTCACCCCCCCACACCTGGACTGCTGGAAATTCCCTGAGATGAATGGGTAATCCGCCTCGCTGAGCCGCCCCTTAGTGGCCGCATCAATGATCTGAGCTATCAGCGGCTGGTGCTGTGTGTAAACATTCTCCACGCCCTGGAAGGAGAGGAGGGGGAGAGGGGGGAAGAGGGGGAAGGGAGAGGCAGAGGGAAAGGGTGTCTCGCTCAGCCGCCCCTTAGTGGCCGCATCAATGATCTAGGCTATAAGCGGCTGGCGCTGCGTGTATACGTTCTCCACGCCCTGAGTGGGAGAGGGGGGAGATTGGGGAGTGGGGTAGAGGACAGCAACACGAGCAGGGGAAGAAAAGGGCAGCATCAATGATCTAGGCTATAAACGGCTGGTGCTGCGTGTATACGTACTCCACACCCTAGAGGAGGAGGAAAAGGAAACGGAAACGAGAGGAAGAAAGGAGAACAGTGGGATGGGAAAGAGGTGCAGCTAGGTTCGATATGCCCCTTAGTGTGATAAGTCGATTTTTGAGTCGACTCAAAATCAACTTATCACACACGAAAACGGAACAGTGGGATGGGACAGAGGTGCAGCTAGGTTCGATATGCCCCTTAGTGGCAGCATCAATAATCTGCGCGATCAGCGGCTGGTGCTGCGTGTATATATTCTCCACGCCCTGAGGGGTCGGGGAGAGAGGGAGGCAAAACGAGACAAGAGAAGGCAAAGGGCCGTGTTGATGATCCGTGCTATGAGCGGCTGGTTGTTGAGGCGCCTCAAAAGTCGTGTTGATGATCTGTGCTATGAGCGGCTGGTGCTGCGTGTACACAATCTCAACACCCCAGGGGGGGAGGGGGAGGAAGAGGAGCAAGAGAGTGGAGGGAGAGAGGAAGACAACAAAGAAAAGGGGGAAGGCAAAGGGACAAATCCCTGCTGCCATACGCACCCCTCTCCACTCCTCCTACCAACCAGCCATATACCCGCTATAAGCAGCTCCCCACACATGCTTACTGTAAGCACCCCTTTCACATTTCTTGGCATAATATTGAGCAAATCCCCACACACACTTACCATGAGCCCTCGATTCAAGTTCCTGGCCACCATATTCAGAGAATCCCTGCTGCCGTACAGACCAATTCCTCTTCATTCTTCCCCGTACAGCCAAACCTAGATCCTCTCTATGAGCAACTTTTGAGACGTCTCAAAAGTCAATTCCTCTTCACTCCTCTCCGTACAGCCAAACCTAAATCCTCTCTATGAGCAACTTCGATTCCTGCTTACCATGAGCCCTCGCTTCACTTTCCGGGCCACCATATTCAGCGATCCCTGCTGCCATACAGGTCAGCAACTCTCCACTCCTTCCTCAAATACCCAAAGCCATATCCTCTTCATAAGCAGCCCCATCACACACTTACCGTGAGCCCTCGCTTGACATTCCTCGCCACCATGTTGAGCAAATCCCTGCTGCCATAGAGATCCGCTACGCGCCTCTTTGCTCCGAATTGGCGCAGCAGCGTGTATACCAACTGCCAAACGAGCGAAACGATGGGAGGCATGAAGCAGAGGGAGGGATTGCAGGAGAGGCATGAATCCCTGCAGTGTGGGTTGAAAGAGAGGCAACCGGTTGTGTTGGACCCCTCACCCACCTCTCACCCCTCCTCAACACCCCTCACCCCTCCTCATCCCTCTACACTCCTCCAACTCACCCCGGCCTTGTACTTGGGGTTGCGGCAAACATCGCTGAACTTGTTGATAAGAGCCTGCGGGTGCCTTTTGAGTTGACTCAAAAGGTTGCGGCAAACATCACTCAAGTTGTTGATCAGAGCCTGCAGGTGCCGCTGACTTTGCTGTGCTGCTGCTAACACTCCCACTCAACCACCTCACCCCTCTTCACCCCTCTCAACGCCCACTAACCCCGGCCTTGTACTTGGGGTTGCGGCAAACATCACTGAACTTGTTGATAAGAGCCTGCAGGTGCCTTGGGCTGTCTTCTTAACCCTCCCACTCTAACCCCTCCGCACCCCTCTTCACCCCTCTTTACCCCTCTTCATCCCTCTAAACTCCCACTCACCCCGGCCTTGTACTTGGGGTTGCGGCACACGTCACTGAACTTTTTTATAAGAGCCTGCAGGTGCCTTGGGCTGTCTTCTTAACCCTCCCACTCTAACCCCTCCGCACCCCTCTTAACCCCTCTTTACCCCTCTTCATCCCTCTAAACTCCCACTCACCCCGGCCTTGTACTTGGGGTTGCGGCACACGTCACTGAACTTGTTGATAAGAGCCTGCAAGTGCCGCGGGCTGTCCTCTTCGTACCGCAGGGCATACAGCATCACCAGCCTTAGCTTATCCACGTCTGCAATATCTTGAGACGCGAGCTTTGCAGCTACAGCCTGGTGGTGGGTGGTGGGCAATGGGTGGTGGGGAGGAGAGGGTGGAGGAGAGGACGGGTGGGACTGAGTTTAGTCCTTGCAGGTGCCGCGGGCTGTCCTCCTCATATTGCAGGGCATATAGCATCACCAGCCTAAGCTTATCCACTTCAGCTATGTCTTGAGATGTTAGCTTGGCCGCTACTGCCTGGTGGTGGTGGTGGGGAGGGTGGATGGGAGGAGAGGGTGGATGGGAGGAGAGGGTGGATGGGAGGAGAGGGTGGATGGGAGGAGAGGGTGGATGGGAGGAGAGGGTGGATGGGAGGAGAGGGTGGATGGGAGGAGAGGGTGGATGGGAGGAGAGGGTGGATGGGAGGAGAGGGTGGATGGGTGGAGAGGGTGGATGGGAGGAGAGGGTGGATGGGACGAGAGGGTGGATGGGAGGAGAGGGTGGATGGGAGGAGAGGGTGGATGGGAGGAGAGGGTGGATGGGAGGAGAGGGTGGATGGGAGGAGAGGGTGGATGGGAGGAGAGGGTGGATGGGAGGAGAGGGTGGATGG